GCGGCCAGTTTCGCGGCGGCCACCTCCAGTTAACCTCCTTCTCACATCTGGCCTCTCTGCCGCGAATGAGCCAGTTTTCATATCAGGATACTAACGAGCTCCCCCCCCCCCCCCCCCCCCCCCACCTCCGGAGAAGCTCACACAGGCCACCCCTGACCTCTGAGGAGTTGAACGCACGGCGGCGTTCGGCTGGCACGCACGGAGAGGTACGTCCCATGCTAGTTGGCAGTGGGAGCGCTCCTTCGTGACGGGTGAGGAGCTCTAGTTAGAGTTGCTGGCACCCACACATGGATTATGTGATGCATAAGTCCGTCACGTGACGTGACGTAACCGCTCTGGTGCGGCAGGACCTGTTCATCCGGCGTGACATCGCGGTTCCAGTCTCATCAATGACCACTCGTGGAATTCGGTAAACGAACACGCCCGAGTCGAAACATCACGTCCGTTCCAAAGCGGTTTGAACGCTCCCCTGACCCGTTTTGCTCTTCTGGAGACTTCGTGTTCTGTGACAAAGAAATGGTGCTGGATGGCTGCATCGGGCAGGCAATGCCAGCGCCTATGGTCATTTTTACGTAGCATATCGATGGCGTCTTTTTACATTACCAACTCAAAATAACCGGTTATCGTGAATTACAAAGGACGACCACTGCACCGTTTCCTTGTGCGACAGGATGGTTGCTGCCTGTGGTGGCGCCAGTTTTCCCGGGCTGATTCAGAGCCGGTGCTGAGTTGGTGCGTCGTCACTGGCCCAAGACATCTGGAGTCATCGGTCCACTTTTTGGCCTCTTTCAGACTGGCTCGTACAATGCGATAGCCGGATGTCCCGATTTTCCATACCAGGCGTGGCCGCGTTTATGTTATGTCACTTTTTATTCGGCTCAAAGCGCCAGGTACAGCTTCCGCCTGGGTGAGGATTGGCCAGTTCGGTTTCAGTCCTAGCTCACTGCGCCTGCGTGCTGTGGTCGGGCCGGACCGGTCTAAACCGCCTGTGACCGGACAGTGCAGGTTCAGCCTGACATGACCGGACGGACGGAAGTGGCTCGGCCCGTCGTCAGTGGACGCCGCGAAGTGGCTGCAGCGTATTCCCGGCTCCTGACTGGCTGTGCCGGTACGCCGCGGCTGCCGGCGGACCGGGGGCCGCCTGTGCCGGACCGCCGCGGGCCCGGGTGCCTTCCGCGAGTCCCGGCGCTCCGCCAGTGTCGCTCGGGCACGGCGAACCTTTGACAGGGGTCAAGGGAAGAGCTTGTTTGTCCTTTTCATAAACCGGAAGTGCGTCCGGCTGAGAAGAAAAAAACGGAGCAAGTCACGGAATTGGACCGTACCGGGCCACACGTTTGAAAAGGCTTTTGGGTTATGCTTTTCTCGGGTGTATCGTAGGATGCCTGCCACCATCCTCATGTCATTGGGGCTTTGTGACGCACTCAGCTGCTGAGGCTATATGGCGTATATACATGGCTATAGCTATATATGGCTATATGAGGCTTGCCTCTCACCCTGACAGGAAGGGCGGGTGCCGCGGGGAATCGAACCTCGCACTACACTACCGGCGCCCTCCCCTCACTCCGTCACTACTGTCATGCGAAACCGTCCGTTAGTCATTCACTCAGTGTCTGCGTCCCCCCCCCTTCCCCCCTGCATCTCCCAGCCCCTGGATCATCGATAACGGCTCGCGATCTGGGGCTCTCAAATCGGCCGGCGGGCGCTGGCGTCGGCGTGAAGTCTGACAGGCGGTGTCGGTGGAGGGGCGGGGGGGGGAGGGGGGCAGACAGCGCCGACAGGAATTGATCGGTGATGCGGTGTGGCACCAAAACGGAGCGTTGCGTCAGTGAGGACCTGGCGCTGGCGCTGGAGGGAAGGCCGCGAGCTCATCGGCCCCAAACAGCGATGTGGTTTCCGGGGAACGATAGCAGGATTTGCGGCCACGATTGCGAATTTGCGACTTGGAACGTCACCGTGTGCGCAGCGCCACCTCGAAGAGGCGAGCTGCGCGCAGTGGGAGGGGTTTTGCGGGCCGCGTCTGGGACGTTTGCATATTGGCGGCCTTTGGTCAGACGCGGATCAAGGCATTGTGTTTACGGGCTAGCTCTTTTCGACGCTGGAGTTTTTAGATTGGTTATGGTGCTGGTTCCAATGCTGGGTAACTTGTCCCGAGTGGTGGCGTTTTTGGGCCTTCTGCTCCTCCACATATGACTGGGTCGGGGACGTTTGATCTCCGGATGCAAGGTCGCCACTGTTCAGAGGGAGATACGCCGCCGGACGGCCCTCACTGGCCGTGGCGACGGACGGATGTGGCGACGCCCGGCTAGACGCTGTCAAGGCTGCCTGTGACCGCGGTGTCGGCTGGCTGGCGCTGGCCGCCTGTGGCCGCGGTCTCGGGTCTCCGGGCGCTCTTTGGCTGGCAGCGCGACTGTGCCCCCCCCCCCCCCCCCATCCGTCCCTGCGCTCCCACGGCCGCCCCCGCGCCCCAGCGCCCCACGCCCCACGCCCTGGCCGCCATCTTCGGCCGTCGTCTGCGGCAGCGAGCCGTGGAGCTTATCTCGGCTGGGCGGGTCGTTCTCTCCAGTGATGCTCTCATATCCCGATTGGACGGCTCGTCGCGTCGCTCTCCATGGCTTGTGACGGCCACCCGTTCTCATATGTCACGTCCATTCTACAGCAGTCTGTCTCGCTCGATACTTGCCTCGTCACCAAGTACTATTGTGTCTGTCTTCTTGCCTCCACCCTACCTCCTACTTGCCGCATGATGCCCTATCCAGGGGTAGCGGTAGGCAGCAACGACCTGAATGACAGATGTGTGAATGCCATAGTGTATGCAGATATGGTGACGTCTATTGACTATGGTGCATCGCACTCCAGTATGCTACCCACGAGCCCTCCAGCAAGTACGTGTGGGTAGCCATCAATCCGACATCATCTGCGGTAGTCAACTGTTCGACATGCGCCCGTCCTTCGCTTGGATGCTGCTCGCGTACATTACCAGACCAGGTTATGTTTCACATCAACGTTCGGCTGGATCCATAACATTACTCAGTTGCTAGTGCATTTGCGAGGAACATTATGCACCTAGATAAGACAGAAGTAGTAGCCTTATTCCTCGGAGAAAAACCAGGAGGATGGACCTATAGATGCGTTGATATTTTGGCAACATGCCTTTATCGAAACGAAAAGCAGAAGTGAATTGGTTTCTGAAATGTCAATGCATCCATATCTTCATTATCCTGGCTTTTCTCCGAGGAATGAGGTTATTGCTACTGTTGGATCCATAACATTATGAATTTGTGATGCTGCATGTTGGCTCCACTCCCTTCCCTTCCTCCTCCGCCTGTGTTCTTCTCTACAGATGTGTCAGCTGATTAAGTGACATTTGAGGGACACTGATGACTGCTGTAATACAGTGAGGTAATATACTAACGTCATTTTGCTTGAACCTGGAACACGGTCATACGGAACTGCATTGTTTTAAAAAGAGATGTTCTGTTTAGGCTTTCATGATGGCCGTGGTACGAGAAATTGGATGAAAGACTCGAATTTGATTCGGCTTCAGCAGAGTTTACCACGAATCCGTCTGACACGCACGGGGTCTATTCTGACACCGACTCACACGCACAGGGTCGATTCTGACACCGACCTCGATGTGCGCAGCAGCGACTTCTATGCGCTAGTGAAATTACGTGACCACGGAATGGCAGACTATGTAGGGTCAGCAGAGCAGCCAGGACAAACTAAAAGCCTTTAAACCTGGGATACCCTGGTCGTCGTCATTAAAGCCGGGACGTTGTTGTCTCTTGAAGCAAGCATTCCATATCTACCGAATAAATCTACCAACGAAAATGAACGCGCCTTGTTGCATTGTGCAACTTCGTGACACTCCACGATAAGCCAAATGCTGTGGTAAATATGACTGCGTAAGGGTCATGGCATATGACTTGACATTGGCCATCAGTGTACCATATTTTGGACTTGTTTCCTCGAACTATGTACAAATTAGGACAAAATACATTGTGCCCCCCCCCCCCCATGCTCTTGCGTTGAGGAGCAATGTGTCCCAATGTTTTCTTAAAGCGGAGATTGCAAAGGCCAGTACGTATTATTTAGTATGACGTATTTGTCATACTTCTTACGTGACCACCATCCACTGGAATCCCTGCAAAATTAACTCGGTGGGTTGATGGCTTTGGGATGAAAGCTGGGGAGAACATAACATTTTCGTCATCCACGCGCCCAACTTAAAATTGAGTGGCCGCTGGACCAATTTTCTTTAAAGTAACAGCGCCCCAAGTCAGATATACAGTTTTGAGGCCAATCCGAAACTGACGACCTTATACCACTACTTACATGTTCATAAACCGCATAAGACACTTTTGGTATCGCAACAACGTCCAGCTTGGAAACTCGCCTCGTTGGTGGCTTCCAAACTTTGTGAATCGATTTCCCATCAACTCGCAACCTTTCGCCGTAGATTGGCAACGGTTAACTAGCTCGAAACCTTTGCTAATCTTTGGGCAGCCTTACTCTCGAGCGCGAACGTGACTACAACGTCCAAAGGGGCTTATATGGGTTTCTGAAAGTCAAGACGTTGACTTGAGGTCACCGGTTTCAGTCCAGCTGATGCAATCCTAGGCGCTCTGTCAAGTCGTAAAGGTTTTGAGGCGATGGCTCCTTTGATTTCGGAATTCGGATAACTATGCGCTAAGGTGATTTGTAATTTATTTTGGCTTTGAAATGGATGGTGGTTTGAGGTTACCAGCTCTAGATGATTTGCAGGTCAAGTCGTGGTCACGCACTCAATTCGCGAATGCTTCGAATCGATCGGTTAACCGTGCTCTGTGATGTCGTGTGTGGCATGTCACTGAACGCGCTCTGTCGCCGTGCGTGACATGTCACTGAACGCGCTCTGTCGCCGTGCGTGACATGTCACCGACCGCGCTGTGTTGCCGTGAGCGACCTGTTCTGGCCGTGCTCTGTCACCGCGCGTGACGTCCCGTTCTGGCCGTCCGCAGATGTGCAACGTGGAGTGACGCCCCCCAGCCACCAGACGCCATCCAGAAATGGCGGCCCGGCCGGCGGTGGTCACGTGCGCAGTGACGTCATTCGTACCGCCAGCTCAGGTGAGGTCAGGCGCCACATAGGCAGAGGTGCGCCCTCCTGCTCAACAGTGGCGTTAGGGCCCGGCGCGCGTCGGACGGCACTCAGTTTTGTGCTGAAGCAGTCAGCTGTTAACGCGGGAATGTGCGTGCTTCTTCCGCCACTCTCACCTCATAAATGTTGTAAGGACGGTAAAGTAACAGTGAGTGAAATTCCTTTTTGAATGTGACAGATGTGTTGAAGGATTTGCAGTATTAGTGCTATGTTGTCGTCCTTTGTTATTGTTAATATCATCACCGTTTCCGTATCCTTCAAAGGTGCGCAAAAGCCGGACATTAGTGGCGAAGAAGCTGTCGGGAGAGGGAGGGTGACGTGGCACGATTACGTCTCGCGCAAGTAGAATGATGACCCTTTGGAGATGTGTGGAAGGAATCGTCTTGAGAAGCAGCCCCCCCGCCCCATTACACACTTTTTTGGACATTCCTGATCGCCATTGGGTGCGGTGCGGCATATACGATACCGCGTGTATCAACAGCGTGCAAAATTGGTTCCAAGGACGTATAACCATCTCGGGTGGTGACTTAGACATTAAGACATAGAAGGCATAACCGACACCCAGCCAACAGAGAGCCAAAAGGGCCTATTGAGTTTGGCCTGCCTCAGGTCCGCACACATCCCCGGAACTTATCTTTCCACCTGACCTCCTAAATTTAGCTAGAAATGAGATCCTTAGACCGATGTCCAAGCAACTTTTAAATGTTGCTAGAGAGGTACTTCTTACAACTTCGTCGTTCGGTTAACTTCGTTTGACGGTCCATTTCAATGATTCGCTACTCTTTGACTTAATGAGATCTGCTTCTTAATACTTCCACTCCTGCCTTTTGCTAAACGAAGCTGGTTTCCTCTACGCCTCGGCCCAATCTCCAGTGCTCCGTGTATATCTACCATGTATATCCCTTTCACAGTTGAATGTCTCTATCAAATTTCCTCTAAGTCTACGATATTTCAGTGAATACAAATCCAAGGCCTTAAGTCTATCCTTATGTCATCTAGTCTAGTCTAGTCATCATCCTAAGTCTCCTATCCCATTTATCATCCCAGTTGCTTTTCGCTGTACTCTTTCCAGCTCTATCTTACTGGAAGCACAGTGACCAAGAGCTTGTACATTTACTACCCACTCGTGATCAAAGTTGCCTTAGGATTTAGGATTTAGATTAGGCGAGTTGGACTAAACGTGCTACACCGCTTTGGCAACATTTGAGGCCCACAGTCCTGACCGCCTCAGAACGGCACCTGGCCCGAGCCCAGTCCTGCATCCCTTGTGTGACGTGCTGGACCGCTGTCCGTGGCTGGTCGGAACAAAGCGGGCGCTGAAAATGACGCAGGCTCTGTATACAAGCTACGGCGTCGTCCAACTCATGGCATAACCGAGTCATTGGGAGCTGGACGGACCGCGCTCAGGGCATTGCATGCCGCTGGCGCCGCCCGCCTGCTAATATCGAACACCACCTGCTAATATCAGACACCACCTATAACCGGTTCTCACCGCGCCGGGCCTGCAGCATTTCAAACAGGGCTAGCCGCTGTTGCCACGCGGTGGGTCTGGCATACTCACTTCTCGTAACGGCTGATGGCTGCAGCAGCGCATGTGAATCGTCGGACGCGAGGCACTCAGAGGTCTAGACGGGTCATGGTGCTACACCCACCTGGAGCGTGATGTGTGGTAATGGCAGCAGAGTACATGAGCTGGGCAGAGGTGGCAGCTTTCGTGTCTGCTATTGAGCCGAAAGCCGTGAATGACGGCGACGTTTTCATACTGATTATACTAACCAGGTCATGCTTATAGTCCGTCACAGGGCCCGGCAACCTTTGCCAACTGCTTTTCCCGTACCAATAGCCGAACTTCGACAAGACTGTACACTGCAGCATACTGCAACATCTTGTACACTGCAACAAACAAGATTGTACAACACAGCATATTGCTTTCATGTTACATTTTCAACATCCTGCACCTAACAGGGCTCAGCTCGACTGCCCGCGGTCGACCTCATTTGACCCCCCCCCCCCCCCACACTCCCTTGCAGAGCGAGTATTCACGGCCGGCCGGTGCCGTGAGCTCGGTTGGGAGGGCCCACGCGCCTGGGCTTGAGGGTGGTCGTGCCGTGCGGGCGGAGCGCGCCGCGTCTGCAGCTGTGCGGCCGTGACGGTGCGGCACGGCAGACGCTGCCGCCGACGCCCCTCCCCCTTCCACCTCCTCCTCCCATGCCTCCGTGAAAAATCGCCGGGTCCTGTATCTTAATGGGTGTACGACACCGGCGGTACATTCGCTTCATTGCCATTGTTCCATTATTCCGTGTCGCCGTGACAGGGCGCCGGGCCGCCGAGAGGCTCGCCGTCTTTTTCGACTGGGAATCTCTCGAGCGTGGCCAGAAAAACAACCGCTGGTGACCCGTGTGCCTTTTTGTCGGGCCTGACGTAGCCGTACAGGCGCTTTTTGCGTCGCGTCTCTCCAGTGTTCCTGAAAGTCCCATCGGAGAGGCATCGCGACGCGTTTGGCTTGTGTCCTGCCGCGGTTCTTAGATTGGATCCACTGCGCCGGCCTTGCTGCACGGGACAGTGTCGGTCCTGGTGTGAACCACCGCGTGGTCGCCCGACACCCACAGCCCTCGGGGCTGCGTCCTGTGCCAGCCCTGGCGTCCACAGGGTGCAGCCAGCCGGGTTCACTGATCAGCTCCGGGGGCGCTGATGAGCCACTGACGCCTCTGACCGTGGCCACTAGGCCCCGAGTAGGGCGGATGCAATCAGCTGCAGCAGCACGTCTTGCCCGCGATGTTTCCTGGCCTCGGTTGAGCTGCCTGGCCGCATGTGCGTTCCTTTCCACCGCGCCGCTTAGTCACGGTGCCGTCGGGCCGGCCGCGCCGTACGGCTGGCCCGGCCCGAGCACGCGGAGCCGGCGCTGCCACGTGCGCCCGTGTTGCAGTCGGACTGCGCCACCCGAGCTGCTGCCGAATGGGCTCGGCCGCCTCCCTCAGGACGAACCGGAAGGGCTCGCGGGGTAAGGCGGCGCCGGCCGCCGGCGCCTGCCTGTTGTGTTGTCGCCCAGTGTGAGCCTGCCGCCCTGGGCAGCCTAAGGCGGCCGCTCCGGGCCAGCCCGCTTCGGTTGTGCCGCGCGAGGTTTTTTGGTTGCTCATTTTTGAGAGTCCGTCGCTCTGTTTTGTTGCGCTTCGAGCCATAGCTGGGGATGTCGGGACGATACGGGTCGGGAAAGCACCATCGTTTGCAACGCAGGGATGCATGGAGGCTGTGTTTAGTTTGTCAGCACTTATGCCTGCCGCTGGACCGTCGCGAGCGTTGTAAATACTTTTTTTTCCCAAGACGTGTGCTGTCCTGCCTTCTCCTGCACTGTGAGTGGGCCATCACACATCTGGGCCTCATCTCACTACGACGCTTGCATATGCGTGCCTGTTTTTCTGTTGCGCTTGATATGTGTTTGCGTGCCGTGGCTACGGTTACGTTGAGCTTGTGACGAGACATTGCACCCTGGCAATGCCTGCGTGCACGACTACCGTGTCAGACGATTGCATCGCTCATCATTACGCCAGCAGGCAGCTACCGTTGGACTTATTGAAATCAGCAGCGCAGTCCTCTTCTGCGGTGCGTTAACATTAAATTGGCGTTACTTCGGTCCGCCGGTATACGGGGCGATGCTGCCCCGGCACCCACTATAAGTTTGCGTATAAAGTCTCCTGAAACCTGTCCATAATATAGAACCTGAGTGCTGGAGCAATGCAAACGCGTAGGTAACGGGTAGGTATGAGTGATCAGGAATGGGTAGGGGTAGCCATGGGTACAGCCCCATGGATAGCTTGTGGATTGGGTGACGGAAATGTTACCGGCGTGGGTCTCTGCACTAGATCCAGGCCGCTGGTCGCACTGACCGATGGTTGACCTTGCTGTGACACTGCCCACCGCTGCAGCCTCGCCGCAGGGGCCCACGGTCAGATGGTTGACCTTGCTGTGACACCGTGCCCACCGTTGCAGCCTCGCCGCAGGGCCCGCGTTCAGGCGGCGGGGGCACACCGACTCGCGGCAGCCCCATGGTGGTGCGCGCCCTCTACAACTACGACAGCCGCGTCAGCTCCGACATCAGCTTCAGGAAGGGCGACCGCATGCAGCCGGTGGCCGAGGGCAACACGGACCCGGACTGGCTCAACGTGCATCACCTGGCCACGGGGCTGACCGGATTCGTGCCCCGCACCTATGTGGCCACCGAAGAGTCGGTGGAGAGTCAGGAGTGAGTGACCCCTCGGCTGGCCGGCGCCAGAACTGTCAGCACGGTTACCGGTGGCTTGTGCTCGCTCGGCGTGGACGCTGGCTCAGCTGTTTTCGCGTAAAGTCGTAGGCATGTTGTGGATGCGAGTTCACTGTTCGTGCTGTGGTGGTTTCTTATTCAACATCTGTGCAGACACGTCGCGGCTATAAACAAGCGGTTGTGTGTGTTTTTTCCTCCGCCTCCTCTGCAAGGACTGTGCTGTTGTGTCGTGGGCTCGTATTCCAGCTATGTACAGTAATGCCCTTGGCTCCTACCCACGAACTGTGCGTTCGTTTCGTTGGCCCTACCAGAGCTGTTTCTTCGTGGGGCGACCGTCCTACCCACCCGGTTAGTGAGAAGCCAGCACGGGTCTGGGTTGCCGTGCTGTTGTCGCGCAGGGGCTGTCCGAGCTCGTGTGCAGGCCTCCCGTTCGAAGCCTATGTCGTCGTGTCTTGGAGCCTGCCCCGGCTGCATGTTTGATGGGCCTCCCGGCCGTGGCAGCTGGTTCTTCCCCCGGATATCGCGGAAGGAGTCGGAGACGCTGCTGCTGATGCCGGAGAACCCCCGCGGAACGTTCCTGATCCGGCAGTCCGAGCGCGTCGGAGGCCTCTATTCACTTTCAGTACAGGTCAGCGACCCTTACCAAGGCATAACCACCAACTCGAAATGAGCTTTTAGGATACGGACTATCGTGGTGCGGGCGTTGCTGTGCTGCATCTGTTACCAACAATACAGCTTTGTATTGTTGGTACAACAATACAACTGTATTGTTGTACCTGTTGTTGTTGGTTGTTGTTGTACCAAGGTTGTTGCTGTGCTGTATCTGTTACCACCAATACAAAGTTGTATTGTTGTATCTGGTACCAACAATATAACTTTGTATTGTTGGTAACAGATACAGACATTTCCCTGTTACTCGTTTTGTCAGGAAGTTATTTTATATTCGCGTGTTTTCTCTCCATTCTCCGGCTGTGGTGGTTCGCATTGTGCAGCCGCTGTGCAGATGAATATATTCCTTACCAGGGAATCTAGCCTCGACCTCTTTTAGTTATGTTCAGTTTTTCAACATTCTTGAAACAGTAGTTTTCTTCCCGTCCGTCACGATTTTCACTTGACTTAGATGGTCGCCCCGATGGACGTTTTGATCGTATTTCTGTCAGTCCTACCATTAAGAGCTGCTAAATCTACCGCGGGGTGACCCGTCTCCGTGGCGTTCGTCTAATTCTGTCAAAATAAAATGAGAACAGGTTACGTTGCGTTGGTTTTGCAAAGCCGTCAGCCGCCGACTGGCTCCTGTTTACAGTTCTTGTCCTGGTTATCAAGTGACATGTCTGGCCGCGGGGCGGGTTGTTGGCTTGTACCTGGGCTGTCAGCTGCATGAATATTGCAGTATTATGTAGGGTGATAATGTTTGCCGAGTATGTGTATGTGCCCCGCATTTATGTTGCCTGTTTCGGGCTTTTTTCGCGGGACATGAAGATATAGCTACTGTTACAATGTCACCAACTGACTTGCGGCCCTGGAAGGCGTTTGTGGGGCCTGCTCTCCTAGTCATCAGAGTGTTTGAGAGCATGTAGTTCCGATGGGAGGTACGCTGCTGCAGCAGGTTCTACTATGGTTGAGTGTCGCGGTTACTAGGTTCCGTGATTGTGGTCGGGTGTGCTAGCCGGCGGGTTCTGTGCTTGAGGTCGGGAGCGCTAGTCGGCGGGATCTGTGTTTGTGGCCAGGTGTGCCAGTCGGCAGGTTTGAGGTCGGGTGCGCTAGTCGGCGGCTTCTGTGTTTGTGGCCGGGTGCCCTAGTCGGCGGGTTCTGTGCTTGAGGTCGGGAGCGCTAGTCGGCGGGTTCTGTGTTTCTGGCCGGGTGTGCCAGTCGGCGGGTTCCGTGTTTGTGGTCGGGCGTGGCCGGGAGTGGCTGCCTTGCTGAGCTGTGATTGGGCACGGCGGTCAGCTGACCGCGCGTCTCCACAGGACTGGGAGCCCCATCGAGGGAAGCACGTCAAGCATTACAAGGTCAGAGTGCTGGACGAGGGCGGCTACTACATCTCCGTGCGGAACAGCTACCCCTCACTCCTGGCTCTCATCGACGCTTACAGCCGTGAGTCCCGTGCACCAGGCCAGCCGATGGGCTTCACCAGCGCCTTTAGTGCGGCCTGTCATCGAGTCTCTCTTGTTGGCGTGGTTGGACTGTGGGGCGAGGGCACGGGCTGTGAGTGCCAGCCTTGCTAAGGCAGTCAGTGTGAAGGTGTGTTTGTCAGTGTGTTTCTCTGAAGGCGATAAGTGAGTGGCCTCCGGTTTTTTAGCGATCTTTAAAAGACGTGGAAAACACAAAGCTGATCAAAAACAGTGATGAGGATCGTGGTTGAGAGACGGTATTTATGAAGCTTATTTTACGTTGAAATTGAATGTTGATTGCCAACATCTGGCTAACCCAATCTGGTCTGCGAAGTTCATGAAGTATAATGAATTTTGACGTGTTTTTCAGAGGACTCCAAGGGACTTTGTCATGTGCTGACGCAACCATGTCCAAGGCGAAAACCTCAAATGTGGGACCTCTCGCTAGAAACGAAGAACCACTGGATGGAGATCGACAAATCGGAGATTACAATGAAGAGGGTGCTTGGCTCAGGCAATTTCGGCGAAGTGTGGTATGGTAAGCATCGGTTTCTCCCCACCACCCACTACCCCACCCCACCCCACCCCCACCTCTGGCCTTCGTACAGTCGCGAAGATAGGCTATCAGTCACCTCTTGCCATGGGGGACGTCAGACGGTGTGAGCTGTGCAGACCTGTGTGCGTGCCCAGGCTCGGTGGCCAGCTGGGGCGGTAGTTCGTGCCACGTGCGGCAGAACCGCCTCGCCCTGCTGACGACCGCCGCGCCGCAGGACTCTGGCGGGACAAGACGGAGGTGGCCGTGAAGAAGCTCAAGCCCGGCTCCATGTCGCCGCAGGCCTTCCTGGAGGAGGCGCAGATCATGAAGTCGTTCAGGTCGGTCGGAGGAGGAGTGGCCCCGAGGTCCGCTCCGCCTGGCAGTGCCAGTGGCGCTGTTGAGCTCTGACGCCCCTTGCGGAGGAGGTAGCCCCTCCCCTTAAACCCCAAGCCCCCAACCAACCCCACACTGGGAGATCCTTATGAGTGACGCCCACGAATCTGTTCAGTTTGTTGATAAAGGCGTTATGCCTCTGTCGGCACACGTTGCATACTTTCCCTCGCGTTGTCCTCCGTAGCTCGTGGGTGCGCTGCGTAATATGTATGAGCTACCTGTCCTCCCCCCCCCCCCCCCCCCGTAAGTCATTTCTCTTTTCGCGCACCGTTTAGCAGTTGCCATGCCAATTTCGTAGCTTTTGTGATCTGTTTATTGCAGGCGTCAACATTCATCCGCCAGCTTTTATTCTCCCCCCTTTTTGTGTTTCCTTTTTCACACGCGTCATGTAAGCAAGACTTGACAGAGAAGGCCGTCTGGTCTGGGCCTGTCCTCGCGATGTTCTGTCAGTACTGACGCGGGCCCCGTCCTCAGGCACGAGCGGCTGCTGGCGCTCTACGCCGTCTGTTGGTCGGAGGAGCCGATCCTGTTCAGTCGGTACTGACGTGAGCCCCGTCCTCAGGCACGAGCGGCTGCTGGCGCTCTACGCCGTCTGCTCGTCGGAGGAGCCGATCCTGATCGTGACCGAGTACATGAGCCGCGGCAGCCTGCTGGACTTCCTGCGTAGCCCCGAGGGCCAGCAGTTCGGGTTCCCCGACCTGCTCTACGTGTCGTCACAGGTCGGTGGCGCGCGCTGTCGGGCGCGCTCCGAAGCCGCGTCGGAGCCGTTGAGCCTTCCCATCTGAGCTGCCGGCACAGTGGCTTCGATTGTGCTAGCTCCCCCGGGCTGGACTCAATACAATGGAGAATGAACCGCTGGGCGTGAAATTTCAGGGCGCTGTCGTCATTGGCCCGCCTGTGAGAACTTTGTTGCGTTGCACCGCAAGGCTTAGGTGTTTTAGGTTTAGATCACGGTCCAGGCTCATCCCCCGCTGTTCACCAGGTGGCGAGTGGCATGGCGTACCTCGAGAAGAAGCGGCTCATCCACCGCGACCTGGCGGCGCGCAACATTCTCGTCGGGGAGGGCAACGAGGTCAAGATCTGCGACTTTGGCCTGGCCAGGGCGATTGAAGACAACGAGTACTGCCCGAAGCAGGGTGAGTCGCGGGTGGTGCAGGCCTCCACGCTGCCGCCCGACAGCTCGCCCCTGGCTGCTGCATATGCTGCCTGCCTATTGGCAGCAATAAGGCAGCCGCTGCCCGAGCTACCGTGCGTTTCAGTTTTGTTGGAAGGCCAGTACTGATTTGACCTATGCCAAGCGATGTCCTATGTACTGGATACATTACGGCCCTTGGTGGCGAGACCTTTCTTATATGTTCACACCGTGTGTTGATTTCCAAATGTTCCCTTACCATTTCAGTGATACTGTTTGTTCATATAAGCTTCGTTAGTTAATTACTCGGTTATTTGGGTTTGAGCCCTTTCGACCCGTATGGATCATTTTGGGGTTATGGGATGAAGGAGACTGGATGACGGTGGGGTAGGACTACATGCGCCTGTAGGGGGAGGGGGGGGGGGGCAACCGCCGGGCTTTGGCCCGCACACAGACCCCTCTGCGGGGTGTGTGCTGGGTACCGGGTCTGGATCCTCATACATGGCCTCTCGGCCCACTCGTGGCTGGCGCATGCAGCCTGCCCCGGACAAGCGGGGCGTCGCGATGATGCAGGGTGAGGCCATAAAGAGGAGGAGAGAGTCGGATATATCAACTTTGTGACTGGAAAATTGGTATGGTTATGGGTATGGGTAGGGGTATAATTCTCCTGTGAGAACCTGTGTGACCCAGGCGTCGTCTTCGCTCAGGGGCCAAGTTTCCGGTCAAGTGGACTGCACCTGAAGCCATCATGTACAACAAGTTCACCATAAAGTCCGACGTCTGGTCGTTTGGTGTGCTGCTGATGGAGATCGTGACGTACGGCGCCGTGCCGTATCCAGGTCAGTGGCCTTGCATCGCCCGCCCCCTCGCCCGGCCGTCGGGTGCAGCTGAACCTGACAAATTTGCCGACAGGCGGCGTCGCGCGGCACCTGCTTGCGCGCAGACTCGCTGCCGTGCCATGGTCCGGACGCGGCGGCGCAGCGCCGTGGCCAACCCCAGGCTTGCGCGCTCGGTCGGAAAATATTCTTATCGGCAATGCGCTGCAACGCGTGAAAGGCTTTGCTTTGCGCCAGTTGTTGGGCCGACTGACTCCAGCGCCCCCGCAAGGATTCAGGAGTACGTTCGTGTAATGTATGTGGTCGAAGTGATGGACCAGCGGGTTATCTGGTGTTCCCGACTGGCATTGTTCATCTTGACTTGCATGATGACAGGGGCGGATCTAGGATTTCGTCAAGGGGGGCCGCGGGACATTGTGGGGCCCTTGGAGTTTGGGGCCCCTCCATAAAGATGTATTTGCAGTTCATTCATTACATTTTAAGACGAGTCGTACGTAATATATATGCAGATATATATATATATATATATATATATATATATATATATATATATATATATATATATATATACATAAGTGGCTCTCTTCAACAAGTATAGAGCCGTCAGAGCAAACAAAAAGAGCGTAAGACCAACGTGGTGGGCCCCTAAACGATCGGTAGTGCCCCGTTACGCTGACACATAAGGCCCCGGTCATAGCAAGGTACTCTCCGAGCAAAGGGGAATTATCCAAGACCATGAATTGGCATGCCGCCTCCGCTTCACCGAGCAGTGCGGGGCGGGGGGATCAGGTCCTGCCCAGTGCCGCCTCCGCTTCACCGACCAGTGCGGGGCGGGGGATCAGGTTATGCCCAGCGCCATCTCCGCTTCACCGAGCAGTGCGGGACGGGGGATCAGGTCGTGCCCAGTGCCGCCTCCGCTTCACCGACCAGTGCGGGGCGGGGAGATCAGGTCGTGGCCAGTGCCGCTTCCCCTTCACCGAGCAGTGCGGGGCGGGGGATCAGGTCGTGCCCAGTGCCGTCGCCGCTTCACCGACCAGTGCGGGGCGGGGGGATCAGGTCCTGCTCAGTGCCGTCTCCGCTTCACGCCTCGAGCGGCCGCGCTCGCCGCCCCCGGCTTCTGCCTGGCGCCCGGCCGCCGTCCGCCAGCTGACCGGCCCCGCGCCATCGCCAGGCATGCACAACAGGGAGGTGATTGAGCACATCGAGCGTGGCTACCGCATGCCCAAGCCGACGTCGACGTTCTGTCCGGACGCCATTTACGGCCTGATGGCGCAGTGTTGGCACGGCGAGCCAGAGCGTCGGCCTACATTCGAGTACACCTTCCACTTCCTGGACGACTTCTCCATCTCGTCTGAGCTGCCGTACAGGGAGGTGCAGGACTAGGTGAGTCCCGAGCTGCCGTACAGGGAGGTGCAGGACTCGGTGAGTCCTGAGCTGCCGTACAGGGAGGTGCAGGACTAGGTGAGTCCTGAGCTGCCGTACAGGGAGGTGCAGGACTAGGTGAGTCCCGAGCTGCCGTACAGGGAGGTGCAGGACTAGGTGAGTCCCGAGCTGCCGTACAGGGAGATGCAGGGCAAGGTGAGTCCTGAGCTGCCGTACAGGGAGGTGCAGGACTAGGTGAGTCCCGAGCTGCCGTACAGGGAGATGCAGGACAAGGTGAGTCCTGAGCTGCCGTACAGGGAGGTGCAGGACTAGGTGAGTCCTTGAGCTGCCGCACAGGGAGGTGCGGGACTAGGTGAGTCCTGAGCTGCCGCGCGGGGAGGTGCAGGACCAGGTGAGTCCTTAGCTGCCGCGCAGGGAGGTGCAGGACCAGGTGAGCCCTTAGCTGCTGTGCAGGGAGGTGCAGGACTAGGTGAGTCACAAGCTTCTCAGATGGGGCCCCGACCGCCCGTTTCTCCAGTGTCTGGCAGCCTGCTTCGATCTGCAACGGTGCTTCTCATTGCTGCTTGATCTCTGTACACGCGCTAGCCGTTGCTGTCATATTTTAGCATGTCAGCACGGTGTGGAGGCGCATGGTCCGGTGGCCATGTACCAGCGAGCTGTTGGTTGCAGGTATAACCAATCGGGACCTGGTAATGCAACTGATCCGTGGCTACCGCATGCCGCGGCCTACCGACTGCCCGGAAGCTATGTACGAAATCATGCTGAAAGCATGGAACCTGGAGCCCATGTCGCGGCCCACCTTCGAGTTCCTGGTGCAGTACCTGGAGGACTTCGACTGCAGCGGCGAGGCGCCGTACCGGGAGGCCCCCGAGTAGCCTCGGCCGGTTCCGGAGCGCCGCGTGACCGGCCGTCTGCCGCCCGAGTCGGGGCGGGCCGCCGCCGGCGCAGACCTGGTTCCGCGCCGTCTCGTGGCGCAGGAGCGACCGCGACGCGGCCGGTGACACCGCGGAGCGACGGGCGCCGATCTCAGTCGTGGACCGCGCGGCGTGCGCCGGTCGAGGCGTGGCGTCCCGGCCGGTGGGTGGACTCTGGACACGGCCGCCGACGCGCGGCCGGCGGGGTGGCGCGCGCGCCGCGCCGCGCCGCGCTGGCCGCGGTTCGGCGAGGACGGCACGGGACTGGCGGCGGCGCGGAGCAGCCGACCAGCCGCCGGTCCGCGGACGGCCGTCTTTCACAGTGCTCCGGTCTAGTCCATTCAGTTTTCGTAGTGTCGGCCGACGCGGTCGGGCCCACAAAAGCGCCGCGTTACTTCGGTGGGCTAACTGTGTGTGGTATCGGTGCGGTATGTGTGTTTTGTGATGCGGAGGCCTCTGGTTTCTTACCTTTGTACCGACATTGATGTGATAGTCGCAAGTAGGTACATGTTTTCGAGGCGTGTGTTTATGTGCGGTTCTGCGCGAGAATCTTTTTTACCGAAGTGCGTGCTGGTCCTCCGAGGATATGTCGTGTGTCATTTGGCCGCATTTACACTGGTACCAATGTGTGTCATGGTATTCTGGACGAAGCTGTTGGAGCTCCTGCCAGTGGCTCCAAACGGAACATCATGGGACCAAAGCATGTGGAATGTCATTCATGGGTCCCTTGAATAAGTCGTCTGCCGTATTAGCACGCCGGTAGAACAACAAAGCTTATTTTCGCTTATCGCTCGTCGTTGCAAATTCGAATGGGTGAGACAAAGCTGCCGATTTTGTACGACTGGTTTTTGTGTAGGTGTTCGCGTGCACGCTCACTGCGCTACAACATGTGTCTGGTGTGTTCCCTTCCAGCGAACAGTGAGGCATTCATAGATTGTGTGTTTGCACGTCGCACGCTGCCAGCTGTGTGGCGGCGGTAAACAAGGTGTACATGTATGTAGTTTAGCTGCTCTTCGATATCCGCATTGCTCTGCATCCGCTGAAATATAAGAAACCTCGGCGAGGATATCGCTTGGAGTTTTTTGGTGGTGATAGAGGGGCATTGGTGGGGGAGGGCGGGGCAGACGTGCCACGCACAGAAGCTGATGCATGGTGAGGTAACGAGGCAGACGTTCAGAAATAAGATTCGCTGTCAAATTCAGTTGTTGGTGTGCGTTCGAAAAGGCCACAAACGAACGCGTTCTTATTGTTTTGGGCCATTACAGGTATACACATGCAAACTACGCCAAAAATTACCATTGTGGGTCCAGGGTTTTTACACTGGCAGTCATCGACCTTTCATACGCATGGCGGCACTGGAATGACGTTGGTTTGGTTTGAGCGTTGACAATATGGCGGGTCAAGTATTGGCAATGCAGTATGTTGTTAATACTCGACGTTGCAAGCGGTGATCGTTATCACGGGTAAACCAAATATACAAAAAATGCATTTAAAAACAAAGACACGTGAATCTGGTTAGTACTCCAAAATGTGCCGACACTGCCACAAAAAGGATGCCCAAATCAATCCGAGCCCCCATGAACTCACGCACTGACAAAGTTCTATGCGAAGGGTTGCACAAAACACGGGCGACTAAGCCAGGAGGTTGTGACCCACGCCGTGTATAAGATTACAAAACCTTAAAGGGTGTGTTCCAGATTTGTATGGGGTTTTGAACTAAAATAGCCATTTTGAGATCACTCGGTTCAGTCCACATGCCGCTCTTCTTGAGACTTAAAACCCAAAGTCATATAAACGTTTCATGACAGTTAAACAATGATGCACTGGGAGCATCTTTGCTAAATAGCGGCATTATGTTGTGTAGAACAGTCCAGTCTTTTCTACTTAAAGTATACCAATAATTGTAAGTGAGCATATTTCATCACATATTGTGCTTCCTTCAATATCTGCAAATGTCAAACATTGCTTCCTTGATGCTCGGCGTGATGGATGGCTCATGCCTCATCACTCGACGTTTTTTGGGGATATCTCGCCGCGTTGTCGGGGAGGTGCGCCTAAATTTTCGAAGACCTTTAGGTTGCGTGTGTGTTGACATCAAAAATTACCTGCAGCCTTTCTGGATTCGGAGTGGAGACGATCTTTTTTAGGTGCACTGTGGGCACTGGTACACTGATCCGTGACCGGCGTGGGCGGCGGGCGGCAACCAATGAACCCGCGGGTGGGTTGGCACGATTACGTAAACGGAGCTCTTAATGAAGATTGATACTCAAACACAAGCAAATGCTTATCATAGCACTCATCATTAGACCGGTAATATGTTTGTTTTGGTTTCATGTCGCAACCTGTATGGCTACCTGGCTACCAAACGTTGCTGTTTCCGTAGGCCACGTAGCGTCTGGCCGCGGCTAACAGTAAGTCATGTCCAATGTGCATGCGAAAATGATGGTGGATCTGAAATAAGTACCTTTGCGCGCTTTAGGGCATCAATTCGCGTATTTTATAGGCAGTCCCGGCGTAAATTTTACCTCCGCGATTGTAAAATGGATGACAAGAACAGATAAGAGCCTTAAAAGCTCCGTGAAGCATTCCTGGAATCTGGTGGTGGAACTGGAAGAGTAAAGGCAGCATGTCGTAGCTTTGAATTGCTGTTTCTATTGACATGTCCAAAGGACTGCCTGAAGGTTTTAAAAAGGGATACGCCCAGTCATATCTATGAATTGGTCTCATTAATTTCGAAAGACGTTTGGAAAGAGATATCGCGACTGTCGCTCTGGTTTGCACGGCTCCCGCCGCCTGGTGTTACCTGCAGTAGCCAATGCCGTTGGATTTTGCGCAGACTGCAATCCCGACCATCGCTGTCTTTGCTCCCGAGATTGTAAGCGTGCAGGCGCGAACCATTTGATGTGATTTATTTATCAGCCAATTTTGCAAAAGAACGAGCATTCTCAGGCAAGTATGGTTGGCCTTGCTCCTTTTTAACCCATTTCGACCCGCTGTTTGCATCACGAATGAAGACCCTTTTTTCTTTCCGGGAAAGGGCATCTTTTGGATAGAACACTAGGGGGCACACTATTGCGTTCTCCTAAAAAAATTATTTCTTTGCAACTTTCCTCTCGCCTTGCGCTGCACTACCGTAAGGCAAAGGGGCAGGAAAATCAGGGAGCGGGGCAGGAACTGAAACCCTTATAACTTTATGAAAGCTTAACATTTACCCTGTGGGCGTTGGATGAACAAAAAAAATCAAAATTGCTATCTCCCCATCCCCCGGCTTAAAACCACACCACTTGCTCCAAGCCAGTAGAACTATCTTTTAACAAAATCGTAGCTTGTTTTATGCACATTGCATGATATCGTCCAAGGCCAGCTAACCACAACAGTGGATAACCATGGCATGTCCACTGGCAAAAGCTTCGCTTGAGGAAATTTGGTGCGTTTTACCCTGGAGCTACGCTATGGACTGACCACTCGATTTAATAAGATTTTGTCTGCTTTTTGAGAACTATTAACAGAGAGTAAATTGGACCATTTACAACAGTGTCAATAAAAGTATCCCAATTGAACGCCGCTTGCGGACCACATAACTTTCATAATCCTTCCAGATTTACATCACTACCTTTATGGAACGGCCCTAGGCGCAGCTAAATATTCTCTGGTAGGTTACAGCTGCTCTCGCGCGCTGAGCCTGCCTTCAGCTGTGGCTGACCTGGCGGGCCGGGTCATGCGGAGGCATAGAGAATCTGCCTTCACTAGAGGCTGAACTGGCGGGCCGGGCCATGCGGAGGCACAGAGAATCTGCCTTCAGCTGTGGCTGACCTGGCGGGCCGGGTCATGCGGAGGCATAGAGAATCTGCCTTCACTGGAGGCTGAACTGGCGGGCCGGGTCATGCGGAGGAAGGAGAAGGTGTGACCATATATCGGATGTTGTCAGGGATCTACGATATCTTAGTGCTGATCAGCTCGTCAGATATCATATGTTGTGCCTGCTCAAAAAAGTCTTACTCACGGGTCAGCCACCAGATATAGCCGCGATGTTCACACGTGCTGAGCACACTCATGAAACGCGACAGGCTAACCAGCTGAGGCGCCCCCGAGCGGTGAGCAACTCTGGCACTCGCCGATTTAGCTACAGAGCATCGGATTTGTTTAACTGCCTGCCGCCCGACTTGCGCAATGTTCAGAGTCTAGGCCGCTTCAAGCGCCAACTTATGAAGTTGCTACTGAGGGAGGCGAATGTTGGCACATGGGTGGGTGCGTGTGTGAATTCGATTGTGTGATGCTACGATGTGAATGAAGTAGTGTGATTCACCGAGATGATCCCTTGACCGATGTGTGATGTGTTGGCTATTTTTATTAGGTTTCACATTGTTTCTTTTAGGCTCGTTTTTATCAATGATGACGTGTAACTTCTAAAAAGCCACTGGATCTTGTGGAAAGTTACGAAATATATGGATATGGATATCCTCTACAAGAAATTATGGACGCTCTACAATAAATAATGGACCTCTTTAAACCTGGATGGTCCCCTGTACATACCAGAATGGACCCTCCACATTCAATAGGTCTTAAACAGGTCAGAATGGGCCCTCTACAGGTCAGAACCGGCTCTCCACAGGCAAAAACTGGCCCTCAACAGTGAATAACGGGCCCCTCTACAGGCTAGAATGGGTCCTCCACAAACGGGACTAATGGAAGCTAGTTGATACTGGGCGCTCTACAAGCCTGAATCGGTTCCTATGCAAGTCGGAAGGAACCATGTCCAGGCCAGGATAGGCCCTCGCCAGTCAGTGATGGACCGACCCGCTGTAGCTCATGACGGGTCATCTACAGGTCATAACGGGCCCTCTACAGGCCAGAATGAGCCATTAAACCGCCGGAATGGATCCTTTTATGGGTACAATGGGTCGTCAACAGGTCAGAATGAGTTCTCCAGACAATAATGGACGTCTGCAGATCAGCATGGGCCTTTACAGTCCTGAATGGGTCACCACAGTTAATAATGGGCCCCCTCCAGGCTCAAAAGTGTCCCCCTGGTCAGAATGTACTCTAAATAGGCCAGAATAAGTTCGCGACCGATCAGAATGGAATTTTACAGGCTACAAAATCCATTTGCACATCATACTTGGCCCTTATCATATCAAGATAGGTCCTCCACAGACCCCCCCCCCCCCCAAGTTAGGGAGAATGAGAGCGCTCCCCAACTTTCAAGGTGGGGGTGGGGGGTGGGGGGTGGGGGGTAAGCTGCCCTCATTACCCCCCGGTTCCCGCATCCTAGCGCCTCCGTAGGGTCGGTATGCACAGTTTTTGCGCCACCAGGATGGTCAAGGTGGTTAAGAGCTTGAATGGAGGGAAAACGAATGAGAGGGAAAACGATGAAAGAGGCATTGAATCGTTGAATTGATGATCCGATGAACTCTTACGCAGCATTGTCGATTATAAGTTTTCGTGCCGCTTTCGTCATATGTCTCCGTTGGTTATTGAATTTGTGACAACCACTATCGTTGTACATCACGCTATTAGTGCATTTTTTATGTTAGGATAATGTGTACTACATAACAGCCGAAGCAAAAGTTCTACAATAGTCATCAGCCATCTGCTGATACATCCACTAACCAGCTAGCCGTAAATAAGCCAGGAATCCAGTTTGTGCTTGATTATGATGGCATTTAGCAGCCATCTATAGTTTATTTTGTCATGATGTCTCCGAAATTCTTAGCCTCAAAATGACAGAACCCGCAATGGTCTGGAGAAAACGGACGAACGCCACGCATGCGCATAATTAGATCACTAGTTTTCTAGGGCTGCGCGCAGTGGGATGAGTCCCCGAATGAAAACAGGGGTAAGAATCCTAAAATGTCATGGCCGAAATACGATGATTTTGGAGGGAAAGGTACACAACAATATTCCGCCCTCCCCCACCCCCATCCTTGACGAAGTTCTGGATGCATTATAAATGTACGGTCAAAACTCATAACACTGTACCCCGTTGTGCTCAGAATCAAACCGGGCTCACGCCCGTTTGTGTCCTTGCGAGGCATAGTTTGGTACATATGAGTATAAAAACCCGAAAAAATTGTATTTTCGAAAAGCTTTGGGCTTTGATCTTGAATAATGGGGTCACCTATTGAGATATAACACCATAAACTTATTACCAACCGTGAGATCTCGTGAGGTCTAATCCATTAATGTTTTGCCAAGCTCTATGTTTCTTAGTTTGGAATCGGAACAGGGGGGTTGCATCGCCGGTTCCTCTTCCCCCAAGCAGTCCGTGTTATGCAAAACGGCAAATTATAGCGAGGGTCAGCAAATTCTAGGTCAACAAAGTCTTCAAGCTAGGATGATCATTTAAGATCTGACACACCAACATAGTTGCAGCAGATTACCATGCGTCAGAATGGGGTGAAATTGGACGCTCGCCCGCAAAGAATTCCAGCCAAAGTCATGGCAACAAATTAAGGTTCGGGCAGGTAGTAGAGTTACGTATATATATATATATATATATATATATATATATATGCATATATAAATATGTGTATATGTATATATATATATATATATATATATATATATATATAAAAACTCATGCACATCGCTCCTTATCATTATTTCCCTTTCCCTCCATGTCCCAACTCATCCATCCTTCTCCTTCCCCTTCCGCTCTCCTCTCCTCTCCGCGCGGTCCTCTGACGGATCAGCAGATCGCGTTCGTCCTCAGCGGCCAACGCCCGTCACAGCCGCGAGGGGCCCGGGCCTGGCCGGCTGCCCTCTGGATCGATCTGCGCCGACCGTCGGCCGCGTCGACTCGCCGGCCTTCCCAGTCAGAGGTGGAGCGGCGGCGGAGGGCAGGGCACGGACTCAGGTGAGCAGCGGGAGACGGCGCCGTCAGAGGCGGACAGGGCACGGACTCAGGTGAGCAGCGGGAGACGACGCTGTCAGAGGCGGACAGGGCACGGACTCAGGTGAGCAGCGGGAGACGGCGCCGTCAGAGGCGGACAGGGCACGGACTCAGGTGAGCAGCGGGAGACGGCGCCGTCAGAGGCGGACGGGGCACGGACTCAGGTGAGCAGCGGGAGACGGCGCCGTCAGAGGCGGACGGGGCACGGACTCAGGTGAGCAGCGGGAGACGGCGCCGTCAGAGGTGGACAGGGCACGGACTCAGGTGAGCAGCGGGAGACGACACTGTCAGAGGCGGGCAGGGCACGGACTCAGGTGAGCAGCGGGAGACGGCGCCGTCAGAGGCGGACAGGGCACGGACTCAGGTGAGCAGCGCGAGACAGCGCTGTCAGAGGCGGACAGGGCACGGATTGAGGTGAGCATCTTCTTTCCTCAAGTGACTCCATGCATGAGCCTCAGTTGTCGCCCTTCCTTGATTATGTGGTCCGGTGGTTTCCACTCCAGCACTTCGTACGGTCCTTCGAATTTCGGTTGGAGCCTGCATTTTACGCCCTTCTCTGCAGGAAAATTACTGTACCATACCATACTGTACCTCCCTTCTGAAACGTTCCGGCCGCCTCATCCTATGAGGTGGTCATCCGGCCATTCACCATTCATATAATCCAGTCGTTACTCCAGATGAATCCTGTCAGTTGCCAGGCACTGGATCTTGGCGAACCGATGCCACGGGCCGCTAGAAGACCCTGATACGAACGCCGCTGTAGTTGCACTAAGTAAAGCTCCGTCTCAACATCAAGCTCGGACGGCGTAAAGCCTGTCGTAGATGGGGGCCGGTGTTGTATGCCGAGACCACCAGGGGAAGTAGTTGTGGCCAGTCTCGGTCTGGCGTGAAGTGAGCCAGCATCTCACGCAAGACCCTGTTGAAACGCTCGGTGATTTCGTTGCAACATGGTCAGAACACGGACGTTCTCAGCTGCTTGATCTTCATTCTGCGGCAGATCTCTTGCACCAGGCCGGTCTCGAAGGCTTTCCGCTCGTCTGTTAACACGTGCCCGGGTGGCCGGCTAGATACCCTTCGCTCGGGTGGGGGGGGGGTCAATTTGACCCCGCCTGAGATCTCGCGAGCTAAGAAAACCAGAGACACCAAATTTACAGGGTGTGCTGACATGTGCGTGAACTCACTTAGAAGACTGAGATTCCTAGGTCATGGCCTTCGGGTCAAAAAAGGTCAAACAAGGTCAAGTTCCAGGTTGGTGTCTAAAGGGCCCCCAGAACCTAGATAACCGTTTCTAAGCAAAAGGTCACATGCTCATTCAAGGTCAGTGGCCTTGTTTGACCTTTTAAAGGTCAAGATGACCAAAATTATACGAGATTGCTTTGAGTTTTGCATTTGACTAGGCGACAAAGTTTACGCTAAGCAGTATGTTCCTAAAACAAAATGTTGACCTGGGTCATTTTAGGTCATTGACCTATTCTGACCTCGAAAAAGTCCATGGAAGATACATAATGCGGTTCCTGCCATCAATAAATTAGAAATGAGCATCAAAAATTTTCCCATACAGCAAGCCCTACAGTAACAAAATAGGTTGATTTGACCTTGGTGTGACATTTATAGCTGACCTTAGATCAATTTAATTTGCTCATTTAACTGTTGTGTTGCCAAAGAAAGCGTCTCAGAGATACATGGCTTCGTCTAACACTCCGTCGTTGGATCAGATTGAAGGATTCCCTAGAAATCGTCTTCGCTGAAACCATGGTCTGACTTTGACCTGCCATAGGTCAGCGACCGTACAAGGTACATCTAAATTTGTTATGAGAAACGATCCGCTATTCAACTGTCTACAGCTGTGTAAAATTTGGCGCGGCTGTGCCGCGCCGTTCGGAAACCATTCTGGAAAAACCTTCGGGGGGGGGGGTCCATTTGACCCCCACCCCATCCGAGCGCGTGTTAACAGTGACTTCATGACACCATACCGAAAAATCACTGGAGGCATTCGGCGACATCTTCAACTCCTTGAATCTTGAGTGCAAACAACTCGACCAGCTAGGTAAACATATCCTTTGCCACCAGAACGTGCCTATGCCCATCTTCTGTGTGCGTCATCTTCTTGATGTTAGCCGCGTACCGCGGAAAAGGTCTACCTTCCACCGGAACCGCTCCTTGTCTTTGCCCACACGCTGTCCTCTTTGAGTTGTGAGTAAGGCACAAAGAACATGAACAACTCAGGCGCTTGATACCCCGTCTCAGGTCAAACCAGAAGAAGTTGTCAGTGATTTGGCGAAGAGTCAGGCGCATGCCTCCATGGACAGCTGTTGGCACCCTGTGTGCCAGCCGCAGTAGCCTCTTTTTCAGGTTTTATGGCACCAGGATGGTCGCCACATGTCTCCATTTTGCCCATGCCTGCACATGCCACTGCTGTGTCGCTTTGGTCGGTCTTGCGTGTAGCCTGCAGGGAGGTCCGCTACTGGGCTTGGACCAACCATACAGAAGTAGGTGTCCCATGTCCATTTCGGGCCCGAAAGCGATGAGACGGTCGGTTCAGCTCTGGTATTTCTACATACATTTACAGCTGTCACGCTTGTAACTGGTTGGGTGGTATTGCAGCTAATCTACATCGGAGGTGCGTTGGTGAACAGGGGATGATTGTCGGCCGCGTCTCTCACTCAGAGCCTTTATGCAATGAAAAACTTAACAATGTCATTCTCGGCAGCGATAGAATGGTGGACACGGGGGCAGCGCCACCATTTTTTTTTTATAGAGACGATAAGATTCCAAAACTATGACGACACTTGAATAAAAAAATGTGTGGAAAACCATACGTTCAAAAGCTGGCGTTTTCGTAAATAATCAGTACCATACAAATTCTGCACATGCCTTATGCTGCACTACGGTAAGGCACGGGTAGCGGGAACTGGGGATGGGGGCAAGGGCTGATACCTGCACAGTTTCTCAAAACTTCAACATTGGCACTGTAAATGTTGAGAGGAAGGAAATAATCTAAATTATTGCCATTCCGATCGCCTCTCAAGGTGAAAGGACGTCCGTTTCCCCATTCCGGTTTTTAAAAAAAAAATATTGTCGCAGTTTCGTAACCTCTTATCAGCAATCAGTACAGTGCACATTATCATCTTGACCACCTGTCCAGATGAGTTATCAGTGTATAAACGTGTGTATGTACAGTGACAAAGCTTCACAGTGGGAAATTTGATGCATTCTTTGTCCCGCAGCTATTATATAGCTTGGACGCCTGATTCCAATGTTTTTGCTTTGCATGGAAAAATGGCATCAGGGAGTAAGCTCGGCTACTTATTAAGCTACCCTTAAAAGCATCCCAATGACTTTTCTCCCGGAGTCCCACTGCCGTTTGCGGCGCGGCCTTCGGCGCAGTTAAACGTTCTCTGACATGACGCGTTTAGACTCTCAAAGGTGGCCGCGGCATGAGCTGGATCAATCGACCCAGGCGAAGGAGATGCATGCAACACACTGCTGCTGTGTTGATCTTCCTTTATATCGTCATTAAGCGAAGCAAACTTTCAGCCCCTGGCGCGAGCTAAATCTGCATGCAGCTGTGACTGAACTGGCGTGCCGGGCCATGGTAAGACGGTCAACTCTGACGGCTTCAGGGATGTGCTCCTGCGCGTGGTACCTCTCATTGCGGAGAACTGACAGAGAGGGACTGTATTTGTCGGCTCTGAAAATGACAAGAGGACGGTTGCCCTCCCCGGCTCTGGTGACGCTGTCCCTGAGCGTCTCCGAAGTGTTGGTATACGCAGCTTCTGCGCGGCCAGGAATAGAAATGCTACGAGCTCGAAAAAGGAAAGAAGTGAGTGAAAGGGGGTCTCTTCAGGCTGCATGAGCCATGTTATAACGTACCCGACTCAAAGCAACATGCATCTTAAGTGTTATACTCTCGTATGCTGTGCGAGGTTCATACTCGTGCGTGACCGGCTGGGGCCATGCATGACCACTTCCAGCGCACCGTGAAAATGAAAAGAAACGATGCATGATAAATTTTAAGTAGCATTCTTGCCGGCACGTATTTAAAATCTTTCTCGCTGCGCGAAATGTCAAATGTCCTCCAAAATTCTGCAAATTTGAAGATAAAAAATTGTCAATTGTCTTTTGTTTAGCGTAAACCCTTTGGCTCAGGATGGTATGTTCCCCTTAGGTCCATCCCTGGCTAAGCCCCGAAATTTTCTTCCATATGCTTTCCATATTGTCCTCAATTTTAACCATCATTACTGGTGAAATCATTGACATAAGCTAGGTCAAGTGGTGTAATAAAAAATGTTCACTTATAAATTGATGTGCTGAACTTTATCTCATCGTTTATTTCAACTATGATAACCAACTACCGATACTAAGTAAAGTAAAAAAGTTTCATAACCAAAATATATAAAATGAATTACGAATGAGTTTGATGGACAGTGATGCAGAGAATATGGTCCCAGTCAATCAGTGGCAATAACTCTGAAGACGGTTTCTGCCAGCTCGGCCAGCCAGTGCTGGAATAGCGTTGAGAGCCATTCCGCTACAAGTTGCAAAACCACAGAATGCTGAAAGATTAAACTAAGCCAGTAAATGCACATTTAGTACGCAACAGGACACTTCTGCAATATTCAGCAAAACGTCCATATCAAAACACAAAATGAGGCCTCTAATTTTTAGACGTTGAGCTTAGGCTGACATTGTCCAGCGCAGCGACCTGCTTAAAACCTTGCAGTTTATCCGGGCACAAAATGGTGCAGAAAAACGTCCTGTGTTTCGCGTCACCCTTTTGACTGTTTCTTTTTTTAAAGCCCCGGACACATAAGGGAACGGACATTTATCCCCTGGTCCAGGCCGTTCATACCCTGTCTTTAGTTCAAATCGAAGCTTAATCACGCCAAATCTGTTGAAAAGATGATTGTTCGAAGACATAATGACCCTGCGATGGAATATATTCATTAGGGCAAAATTAATTGCAATTGTCCGGCAAATTTTCACGTAAACTTGTATTTGCTGTAGCAAAGTAATGGGCAACGAAAATATTACATAATGACACTACCATGCAGGGCACCTATATTCCATATGCTTGAAGGTGCGCCGTCAACAGAAAGGGTGCTCAAATTCCAGGACCGCATCCATTTACGTTCTAAAGCTATGACAAAAACATGACGCTGGAAATGGTGATCACACGTGGTGGTCATGGACCGAGAGCGTACGAAAGTAGCTGTCCTACCTGGGAAGCTACCTGCGTTGCATCATATATACTGCAATTAAATATCACCTTTCGCCTATCCCTTCAGAAATGTCTAACATTCGTACCTTGCTGGCTCGAAATGCTCCAATAACCACCTAATCTGGTTCAGGCTCTAGACACGGAATATATTTGAATATGCTCGGCTAGTATAGGGCAGCATCGCCGAGTGGCTTTTTGGAGTCCCAGGAGCATCGCACTAGTATTTGCAGCAGTATATCCTGTCTATGTGATTGTACTTCTTTATGGTAAAAATTTCAATAGTGACTCCTTAGCAACAACCTGCGCGAACAATACATTTTCGCCTGCAAGAAGGGTATTAGGTTAGAGGAATTGTCCCCTCCCACCTAACGACGAAGGGGAACCTATCCCCCACCCCGTTAACGCCGCCACTGGATCAATACATGTCTTCATATTTCACATGCGTACGCACGTGCCACGTCTGTGTCGTTTCGGCTGGATTTCATCTAGGCTGCAGGGAGGTCCGTGACTGGACTTGGAGTACACAAGGCGAAGTTGCGGTTTCATAATGGGTGATTTCGTACCCAAAAGCGTTGAGATGGTCTGTACAGCTCTGCCACTTTCACACACATGGATACGTGCTACGATTTTACCAGTTTAGGCGGTCTTGGACCTAACTCGGCGAGAGGTCCGCTGTTGGACTTGGGCCAATCATCGACCGACCGGCCGTCTGTTGCTCAGACCTCGTTTAGAAGTGGAAGTTTAGACTGCAACGCGACAGGACGGTCTCAGCTGCTATTGCGGGAGCACTGGTTCTACTCTGGTCTCTATTTATGTTTGGACTTTCGGGCGTCGTTTGCTCTCCGCAGAGATTCTTCATTTACGCAGCGTGTCTTTGTTAACGGCATTCCGCCCCTGCTCGGGTGTAGCTTGCCGCCGCTTCGTCGGCCCGCCTACCGGCCAGCGACCGGCCTCCACCTGGTTGCCGGTACAGCTTGTTTGCTAACTCGTTACGGAGGGCGCTAGTTGCGCTTCCTACATCAGTCAAAGTAGAGATCACGAGCACCACTTGATACCCATTTTGTTGTCTTCCTTCAGGAAACGAATGAATGTTAGGGAGCCCTTTTTTGTTAGCTTGCTATTTGACTTTAAAAGTTAGTTTTTAAGTGTGACGAAAGCAGACATCACGGACATCAGTAAGGCACGAATTTGGTCATATTTTTAAGCGAATAAATGAATGTCAGGTTACTGCGTTTCATGGGGCCTTGACCTATGGCCTTGATATTTTTCAAGAGCGATGAAAGCGAACATCCTGAGGATTATATGCTACTTTTTGTGGCATCATTGAAGTATCCATATAAATGCCGGGGAACCCGTTGTGTATGACCTCGACTTTCGACCTTAAGAGTTAGTTTTTCACGCGTGACGAGAACAGACATCACGAGCATCAACAAAGCATGACTGTATTGTCATTGTTTTTTAAGAAACAAATAGTAGAGTACTGCGGCTTTATGACCTTGACCTTTGACCTTGAAAGGAGTTATTTCTAGATGTGGCGAGGGTGGACGTCATAAGCATAGCTATGATACCAATTTATTGCTTTTCTTAAGTAAACTTATGAACGTCAGAGTGCCGCGTTTTGTGTGACCTAGACCTATGACATTAAGAGTTAGCTTTTTGCTTCGGTGAGAAAAGCAGACATCACGAACATCAACATGAGACCCGTTTTATTGTATCTCTTGCGTAAACGGGAAAATACTAAGTTAGTTACTAGCGTCATTGCATTGGCCCTCTCAAATCAAATGAAAGGAAAGAAAATGATCGTAGGATAATGGTGGGTATCACAGGCTTTCGTGACGATGTCCACAATTCACTATTCACGCCGACGTCCGCTGAGCTTGAATACCACTAAGCTCGACGATGACAGCTTAGTCGGATGGTGAGTGGAAACAAATCGTATCTAGGTAAGTCATGAGTATTACAACCACCCCCCCCCCCCCCCCCCCCCTGAAGCCATTGGCATGGATGTCCGATAAGCTCGATGACAGCAACTTGTTTGGATGGTGTGGTAAGGTTCTAATGAATCTAAGTAAGTTAAGTGTGTCACAGGCTGCCGTGAGGATAAAAGACATTTACATCGATGCCCGCTAAGCTTGATTATCTTTAAGCCCGACGATGACAACGTGGTCGACAATCAGAACTGCAATCTGCGCACACTGCTTCGTGCTAATGGTACGCAGTGATTGGATAGAGCTCACGGGAGTTCCATATTGTCCCTAACCACCAGCAGGTTATATTATGTTTCATTATCTCATATCTCAAGTGTGGACAACTTAACATCACGTAGTCCTTATCTCACGATATGGACTACTGAATATATGTGGTATATTCTGGCTCGCTCTTTCAACAGCTTGCTTATGTTCCAGAATCAAATTATGTTGAAAAAGAGGGCATTAAGTAGGCTTATCGGCTGTCCAAAAAATCCAGACATATTTGAACCCTGTCTGTCCAATTTCCACATTGGGTAAATTGTAAAGTTTTCGATTTTCCAGAATTTGGAATTCAATCCGCACGTCTGCGTCTGCCATGCAGCGTGGTGTATAGTTTTACGAACCGTTTGAGATCAGGCATAAATAGTGCGGTTGAAACACTCGTTCATGCCATGGTCCGCGTCTTGTATGTTAGTACGCACGCAACGTTTAACCCATTTCATTACCTGGTCGTCGCCAGGTGTTCTTGAGTGGTGAAACGGACTTTCAGCCATGTACACGTCACAATCCGAATTTTCGCCACGAAATTGCTGGTGAGTGCTGGGATTCAAACCGGGAATGCGACGCGTACATGGCTGAAAATCGAATACCATCCAGGACTGCTCAGGGCACAAGAACACCTGACGATGGATGGAGAACTAACTTGACAAAACGTTATGCCTATACAAACATACCAGACAAGGGCGATCGCCTGAACAATTCCTGAAGCCGCGACGGCATCCCCTACTCAGCAAGTTCTGGGTGTGGCCCTAAGTGTGTTAAAACGCGAGTTTGGAATGGATGGAGTTCTGCTTTTGGAGTTTTAGAAAACTTGGTTCCGACCGATGTCTTATGAAGACGCAATGATGGTCTTCTAGCCCCAGGTCAAAAACACCGTGCCCAGACATGTTACCGTACATGACAGCATAGGGTTCACGGAAGTTCATTAAACTTCCACGATTGTATGACGCCTTCCCAGTGCAGTGCAGTGATACACGTCCGACCAATATGATAAAATGGGTTTGAGTGGTGTTGGGATATCAGTAACTGTATCCCGTTTATAATAATAACGTTTATCGTTTATAAACGTATATAAATATATATATATATAATATTGTATAAATAATACATATATATATATAATATTGTATAAATAATATATATATATATATATATATATATATTATAAGATAATAACGTATATAAATAAATCCCGTTTATATCATAAAACACGCAAATAATAAATGCGTGTTTTCAGACGCTTACCAGCAACAGCGATGCCGGGCTCGGATTCGCCCAAATACAGCTGCGCGTGTGGGCTATCTCAAGACGAAAAGAAGAGGAAGTGGTTTGCAGGTGGGTGGCATAGGTATGCTCAAATCAACATACCGGCTGCTATCGCAGCCTTTATGTTTAAGATAGTAGTAATAGCCTCATTCCTCGGAGAAAAGCCAGGGGGCTGGAGACATAGTTGGGCTGATATTTCGGCAACGTGACTTTATGGAAGCAATAGCAGAAGTAGATTCTTCATTAATTCACTTCTATTCAATATAAATATCGTATAAGTGAATGCCATACTTCACTTATGCTATTATTTTGATAAAGGCATGTTGCCGAAATAGCAGCCCAGCTATATCTCCGTTCTCCTGGTTTTTATCCGAGGAATTAGGCTATTACTACCGTCTTATCTATATGAATAAAGCGCCTCGCTAATGCACTGAACAACTTACATGACTTGATATGCAGTTCAACTATGTTAGCATGAAAAAGAGTATGAGTTTACCAACTTGGTGAGAGCCGACAGACTCTACCTACCTAGATGTGCAGGAACGTATCTAGGTACAGAAGTACTTATTGCAAGTGATAGTATTTTACAAGTAGGATATACCAATTGATAGCAGACATTGACAAGAGATAGGTTCTCTTACTGTGGGAAAGTTCTCACACTGTCTGGTTTCCGTGATGCTGTTTACATGTACACCACGTGGTGATATGACATCAGCGCTGCTATGAAAGTCTCATGCCCTATCAAGGCTACCTCGATGTCTGGAGACTGGTCATTAAGTAACGCAGTATTTGTGGACTGCCTACGGTGTCCACGGTACTAGTAGTGCGGATCACTTTTTTATGGTAATAACCAATACTTATGTGCACGTTGTATAGTAAGATTCAGTTGGCATTCAATACAAGCTTTTGTGCTTTGATGTGTGTATGTTTTTCAGGTATTGACTGATTTAGGGTATGACGAATGCTTAAGAACCTCCTTTGCTGGCTGCAAACGCTTGGAAAACGTGCTACATTGATTGGATCACATGAGAATTGACGCCCTAAACGTACGGTTTCTCTTGATTCGCCTCAGGGCCGCCACAGCCTGGCGAGCCACCGGTCGCTACGCGTCCTGGACGCCTTGCTCCGCTGGACGCTGGTTTCCCCTGAGTGTTACCACAGAAAGTCTCTTGGTCGGATCATGGATCGGAAAGCATCGTCATTCGACCTATGGGTCGTGAGCGTGCGCCAAATGCGCCGAACAGAAGTGAACTGAGCGAACTAAATGAACGTACGCTGAACGGGACAATTCCCGTTGGCACGCCACTGCCTGAGAATTACCTCGTGCGGTGGGTTTCAGGACGGTGTCCGGTGTGTCACACCAAGACCAAATACCCCCTGAGGCCGCAGGGGTCGTTCGACACGGCCACAGCCGACAGAGCGGGCAGAGAAGGCTCACCGGCGGAACTGGGGCACACCGGCCGGAGTCGCAGTGAGGAGCGGCTGCACGGGTGCCGACTCACAGGTCAGCACCCGTCACTGGTCACTGCTGCAGGTCAGCACCCCGTCACTGGTCACTGCTGCAGGTCAGCACCCGCCGCAGGTCAGCACCCCGTCACTGGTCACTGCTGCAGGTCAGCAAGCGTCACTGATCACTGCTGCAGGTCAGCAAGCGTCACTGGTCACTGCTGCAGGTCAGCACCCGTCACTGGTCACTGCTGCAGGTCAGCAAGCGTCACTGGTCACTGCTGCAGGTCAGCACCCGCCACTGGTCACTGCTGCAGGTCAGCACCCCGTCACTGGTCACTGCTGCAGGTCAGCAAGCGTCACTGGTCACTGCTGCAGGTCAGCACCCGTCACTGGTCACTGCTGCAGGTCAGCAAACGTCACTGGTCACTGCTGCAGGTCAGCACCCCGTCACTGGTCACTGCTGCAGGTCAGCAAGCGTCACTGGTCACTGCTGCAGATCAGCACCCGTCACTGGTCACCGCTGCGGGTCAGCAACCGTCACTGGTCACTGCTGCAGGTCAGCACCCGCCACTGGTCACTGCTGCAGGTCAGCACCCCGTCACTGGTCACCGCTGCAGATCAGCACACTGACACTGTTCACTTTCACAGCAAGTCAGGGCACTGGTACCATCTGCTTTTAGAAGTCAGCACACAATCACTAGTCACAGCCGCTGGTCAGGAAGCGAGATTTTTAGCCAATTAACAAGGGGGAATTCGACGACCCCATCCCACAGCATTGGTCAATACTTGTGCGTGTCAAACGCTGTTAAATGTTAGAGCACTGCTCTCACCGCTGACACTGGAAAGAACACTGACACCGGCGACAAATACTTGATCAATGAATGAATACGTATTTCTTACATATGATGCAAGCATACTTGCTGAAAATTTTGCTTTATTTTATGAGGTTAAATCTTTTTTTCAGCAGCAATGAGCTTCAGATCTTGATTGCTTCTATTTCCAGACCACCTCTCCGCGACATAGAAAAACTTACGCGTGAGCATGTGGAACGCTGGCTGCTTGCTTACTCGCAGCTTTGCTTTGAGACATGGCACACATGCTTTTGGCTGTGTAGGCGTACCAAATTTTTGGTCTTTCCCGGGACTTCTGGGATCTGAAGAAAATATGCCAGCCGTGCAGTAAATCTTAACTGTGCTGTTTTTTTAAGTCAAAAATGGCGTTTTGACAAGCCTTACTCCTTGGAAGGCTCTTAAGTTTGTCAAATAGCTTGGGATGCATCCGTTAGCTGTTAGGTCGAGCTGCTCCGAATAATTTTGCGTGACATTTCATTCGCGCGGCATTTTACCACCAGCTACCCACTCATGACCTCGGTGGATATGTTCTCTTGGTGGGTGTGCTCCCATATGGAAGCGCCTCCTAACCGACCGGGCTGGGCAGGTGGTACAGCGGTCCCAAGTCGCCAGCACCGTTCATTATGACTGGCTGCGAGCGCGCTGGGCAGCTTGTACGGCGGTCCTGAATCGCCAGCACTGTTCACCACGACTGGCTGCGAGCGCGCTGGGCAGCTTGTACGGCGGTCCCGAATCGCCAGCACTGTTCACCACGACTGGCTGCGGCCGCGTGACGTCATTCCTCCGCGCTTGGTCTCACCTCACCCTCGCCATCGTCCCGACCCAAGCCCATCTGCATATATTGCTGGGTAGCTGACGACGCGCGGCGTTACCCGGCGGCGGGCGAGCGGGGCCGGTCAGCCCAGGGCGTCATCCCCCGCGGCCAGCTCGAGCAGCGTCTCCCGGCGGCGGGCGAGCGGGGCCGGTCAGCCTCGGGCGTCATCTCTGACGGCCAGTCCCGAGCAGCGCTCCCCGGCGGCGGGCGAGAGCGGCCGGTCATCCCCGGCATCATCCCTGACGGCCAGTCTCGAGCAGCGTCTCCCGGCGGCGGGCGAGCGCGGCCGGTCATCCCCGGCATCATCCCTGGCGGCCAGTCTCGAGCAGCGCTCCCCGGCGGCGGGCGAGTGCGGCCGGTCATCCCCGGCATCATCTCTGACGGCCGATCTCGAGCAGCGTCTCCCGGCGGCGGGCGAGCGCGGCCGGTCATCCCCGGCATCATCCCTGACGGCCAGTCTCGAGCAGCGTCTCCCGGCGGCGGGCGAGTGCGGCCGGTCATCCCCGGCATCATCCCTGACGGCCAGTCTCGAGCAGCGTCTCCCAGCGGCGGGCGAGCGCGGCCGGTCATCCCCGGCATCATCTCTAACGGCCGATCTCGAGCAGCGTCTCCCGGCGGCAGGCGAGTGCGGCCGTTCAGCCTCGGGCGTCATCTCTGACGGCCTTCTCGAGCAGGCTTCGCATCGGTGCATCGGTCGGCTACCGCGGCAGGCTCACTGGCATAATGTCGTGCGTGTAGCGGAGGCTCCAGGTGACGAATGTGGCAACATGTCAATGACAGTAAGATGGTGGCTCTCAGGGCAGGAGTTGAGAATAAACCACTGTCTTAGTTCGATCTGCATAAGGTTGGTAACATTAATGGCGAAGCTTGTTGGAGCGTGTTTCGCTGTTGCAACACGAATCAAGTTGTTCTGATTATCGAGGGTTTCGGCACAGCAATGAGATCACAACACTGCAGCAAACTCAACAATTGGATAACAGACTCAATTTCGTTAATTACGACACACCGTTTGGCAGTGGCCGAACCTAGCTACACAAATCCGCTGGACACCATCAAACCCAAGAGGGGAGACTTGTCATCAAATGGAGGTCGGTTTTTGCGACACCTCGAGTCACTTTCATTTCCGGCGAAAGCCGACAGCGCAGACTAAGACAGATAGCCGCTTTTTGCTTTGCGAAATGACCAGCGTAAACAAGACCCAAACTGGCACGCAGTAACCTGACAAAGCAAACAACGGCTGTAAAATTGATGTCGGATGCATTGACAGCATATGCAATGTCGGTGACGTGCAGCCCTTTTTCCTGGCACCTCAACTTGTTTGCATCGCATTGTAATGTCGTTTGGTCACGTTTTCATGCTCAGGGTTTGAATCAGGACCGTGGAATTCCCTCCTGACCCTGAAGGCCAGGTTTGAATCACGACATTATGCATTGCATGATTCTATCTGAAATGCGATGATCGACGCGTGAAGGATTAATGGCAATAAGGGAGGCAGGCAGGACACCTGAGTTGCAGAGGGAGCGGTAAGTATGAATAGAGGATATTTAAGCAGGGAAATGAGGTTTCTATCTCAGCAACATAGAGATTATGTGTGTGGCTGCAGGTAGAGTGCTCCTGTATGCCATCTTACCGAAAATGCTGTAGCTTCAGCTGTTTATCTGGTCCGACCAGGCCAGTAACGCATTTGGCGGTCATATTTGTGGAACCAAGGAACATGCTTTCATGGTTTTCAGAGCCAAATAGCACGGTCTTTTAAAAACTGCTGTATTACCGCCGATATTAGTCGCGCAGCCAGAGACGGAGTAAGAGGGAGGGGGAGGGGGGCACATCGCTGACAAAGGGCCTCTGATAGTAAAAACACCTTGTAAGAAAGTCTGGTTTTGGTCCCCATTTGCTGATGAGGACGTTTTTTCATTGAGCCGTGTTTGTTTTTGTTTGTCTGTTTCATGTTTGTTTGTTGTTTCATGTTTTTTTCATTTTTTTCTCCCATGGCTGGAATAGAACCCAGAAGCTATCGTGAGATCGATTCTGCCTGAAATAAGCAGTCAATAAACTGAAAAATTAGTACGTTTACGACTTTATGAAATTGATCTCCGGCGCCCTTAAATGAACAAAGATCCGGTGGACTGCCTTCAAGCTGATAGAACTCAGATACTTTGTCAAATTTCTATCTGGATTGTACACAGATATCAAGAACCTCGCGAATGTAAACTGCAGATCAAAGAGGGTCAGCAGCTTGCATTAGCATGACCATGCCACGTTTGCCCGGAAGATGTTCAACTTTCAGTCATAATCGATTAGTGATGCAACTGATATAACGCAGTTTTGAGCATGCGCGCGCGCATATCTTAGCAACAAAAAACCCGACACCAGACGTTGCAGTCTCCATAGGTCGCGCATCGTCGGTCCCGCGGCTAATACACATCTGTAGCCAACAGGTGAACGAAGATGAAAACGCTTCTGGAAAAACACCCTTGGATGTTTTGAGGCCTAAAATCGTACATTCAGAGATATTTTGGGCATATGTTTCACCTCAGATTCTTAGGTTGATGATAATAACGGATTGGCCTTTACAGCACGACTAAGTGGTACTGAAACCTGGTGGTGGAACTGGAAGGGCAAAGGTAGAATCTTTATTTTCGTGGTGCTGTAACTTAATCTGTTAAGAGGACAGCCTCTATGTCGTTACAAAATTTGCCCAGTGTAATCGTTGAACTATACGAATTGGTTTTGAAAAATATTCAGAGGCATTATCTTACGGTTGTTATCAATTAAGAGCCGATTAATGGCTGCTATACCTGGAAATCACGCCTACGAACGCCAGATATGAGCGACTGGACAATTTTATTTTTATTTGTCTTGATCGTCGCATAGCCAGTGGAGTGACAGGATTTGAATGACGCCACTATGGCGTCATTGATGCCCGAGTGACTTTGAAATGGTCTTTCCAACATGGTCTGGTCATCTTGGAGCGCGTACATCTTGAAATTAGAAGGGTTATGTTTTGAGGAGGTCAGGGCTGCCATACAAATGTAGAACACTCTCTTTAAATCCAGGCTGTAGTATAGAGACCTTTACATATAGGATTTCCTTTATCCAATCCACCCGCTCCTTATAGGGCTGTAACCACACCCACTCACTAGTTATCTCTTATAAGCTGTGCCCATCCGGTACCCATTCGTGTGCTATTTGACACAACTTGAGTTATGGACTATACAAATTTCAGGAAAGTTTACACCCAAACCTTCCTTTTTGCGTTCATACTGTGAATGAAGCTACATATAACATACAGAAGCAACAACAGTAATAGTGTGTAGCATTTCATGAAGTACGTAACCGGCATTTGGTCAACGCCTTACCCATATACGCACCCACGCCAGCAAATTACCCAAAATATACGCCCAACCCAACCGATTACCATTTTATAGTACCCATGGGCTTAGGGTAACTCGTGAACTCTGCTGTGAGGGCTTCATGGCATTAAGGCAGCGAAATTCTCCGAAAGGTGCAATATCGGCACTACTTCACCTATCCGTGTGATTTGAAACAGGAAAGGTGGTGAAGCGCTCATCTCGTCAAAAAGCTGAAGGATACAGGTCGGAAACGGGTCGAGATCTCAGCTACCAGACGTCGCAGCGCCATGGTTCAATCAATACTGGCGAAGGAAAAGACAGACCAATCACTCCGGCAAACATGTGGATGGACGGAGCAAATATGTACACAGACTTCCACACGCAGCGGTGCACAAGCCGCAGGTGCGCGCATCTTCGACGTTCTTCAGGACTGATGTTGTATCCTGACAACTAGATCAGGAAAAGACGTGAAATCAATTGTACAATGCAGGCGAACGTTACCATTTCAAAAATTTAATTCAAGTCGAACAGTAAGCAATTCAGTAATCGATCTTAACAGCGTTTGACCCACGGGTGCGCCGTTACCTAATATAACTCAATGTTGTCAGAAATATCAATGCCATTATCTCCGAAACTGGCCTGAAATGCGAAGTGCTGTGATCCAAGTCGAAATTATCTGGGATGTCAAAACGGCATAGGCTTAAGCCAACTTTTACCGATATCCATCCTAAGTACTGTAAAGTTCAGTGCTACTCATTGTCTGTTTGGTTCAGTTGTACGCGGTAACCCACTCAACTCTGTTCACAAATCGCTACCGCTTTTTCCTTCAATTCACCAACAAATCGGTTGGGAAATGCTACATGCGGTGGGTCACGGAAACAACCAACGCGCTTGGAAACATTTCATGGAAACTGTGTGCATCTATCGTTTGCTTGCGGGTTCTAATCATATACCTGTTTGGGTTCCATCTGCACTTCTCTCTCCTGTCTGCCCCCCGCCCCCCCCCCCCCTCTCCTGCGCAGTCCGCATCCCCTACTCGTGACGACTGGGATCGAAGTCACGCCCACCATGAACGCCTACTCCCCCGGAGGCCAATCCCGCCCGGCGGAGAGCTGTCCAGACGCGCCGGATCATAAAGAGTGGACGAGACGCCGCATGGCCGACGAAACCCCATCAGCTACAGACGCTGCGGCTGATGGGTTTTCCGTAGGCCCTGCGGAGAGGCTACATCGATCAGCCGCAGGCCGTGTCGCTGCGACGTCTTCATCTCCCTGTTAGCAGTCGCGGCAATTTGTGTAAAGTTTTGTATTTATATTGCTCCATGACTCTTATCTGGCAGGTAGCAGCACACACATTTCTCATTGTCGACATGGGCCAGTGGTCAGCGCTATTGTTTCACCAATGATATCAAATGAGCAGTGTTTTCAAAATGGCCGCGTTTTGGGTGCCTTCCAGGCCAGATGCGTCGCCATGATTTGACGCATGGGATGGCAACCCAATTCCTGGGGAGTAAAATGGTTCCCAGGAGACAAAGACCATAGATTACGGAGCCAACCGATGGGACAATATAGCCGTCACTGGCGCCAAGGGGTGGCGTTGGAACGATGCATTAGTAGTCCCTTGCCTCGATCCTCCACTCGCACTACCAAAAGGCCCGCCTCAGACCCAGTCATTGATGTAAGTTATTACCTCTGTCGGCGTCTTAATCTGACATGCACACACAGGAATCGATGCAAAGCTGCAGCTCTGCACCTCGTCCCACTGCATATTAGGCTGTTCCTTGAACTAGTCGCAATGTGTGCTGCCACTGCCCTGTGTGTCAGTTTTAATTGCACTGCGGTCGGTTGCAAATGGTGTTTGACGTTATCGTGCGGTGTATCTTACGTGTCCATCATGTATTTGCGTTGCATCTTCCATGTATCCGCGGTCTATCTTTCGTTTATCTGCAATGCATCTTCAGGGTATCTGTCATGTATCTTCCGTGTACCTGCGGTGTATCTTCCATGTGTCCGTCTTATGCTCATCGTGTTTTCCGTGTTCCCATAATGTATCTGCCGTGTTCATCACGTTTCTGTCGTGTGCTTGACGAGCATGTGTGGTCATGGGCCTAGGAACGCTTCAAATTGTGTGTATGAAACGGGGAACAGGCTCAAGGCACAATCGAGGAACTTTACCTGGGGGCAAACCCGGCGACCGAGAGGAAGAGGGGAGGGATAGGAATGAGGGACCTTGTATGATCTTTTTGTGTGCCCTTAACTCACATGACACATTTTGGAAACACAATGATCCAAAACTGTTGAAGAGACGACTGTTCGGAGACAGTAATAATCCTGCAGTAGAATAAGCTTATCATGCAAATTCATCACAATTGTCCCTCAAATTGTCATTTAGTATAGTCATACCAGGAGTACAATGATGACCCACGAAAATATTATACCATGACGCTATCATGCAAGACTATCACCTATATTCGCTATCATGCTGCCACCTATATTCTGAACGTTTCAAGGTGGGCGATCAACGGAAGAGGTGCGCAGAATTCCAGGACCGCATCCATTTGTGTTCCAGAGCTTCAGGGCAGACATGCCGGTGCAAATAATGACGACACGTGATCATTTACCCACAGCGTACAAAAACAGCATTCGTATCTGTGTAGCTCAAAATAATGCATCGCACCACCTACACTGCAATTCAATATCAGCTTTTACCTATCCCTCCAGTTCTCATCCAGAATGCCTCATATTCAAAAGTTGCAGACAGGGATGCTCCAATCACCTCCTGATCTTGCTTTAAATTCTAAGCACGGAAGGCATTTAATATGCTCGGCTCATGTAGGGGAATGCCGTAGAGTGATCTTTTGGAGTCATAGTAGCATCGCACTATATTTGTAGCAGTGCAATCCTTCCTGCTTAAGGAATTTTAGTATGGTGAAATTGGGAGTAGGGGCTCCTTAGCGAAAGTCTGTGCGAAGAAAATTTTTCCTTTTGCAAGAAATGTGTTACGATAAGGGAATTGTCCCCTTCCTTTCCGACGATAGAGAGGAACGCGTTCCCGGTCCCCCGTCGCCCGGTGGTGCTGCCCCCGTGCGTGAGAGTTAATGTAGTTAATTATATCCTGTAAGGCGAAGGCACAATGCACAATACGGACGGTCCAATCAAACAGAAAACATAAAATAGCAACACAACATAATTCATGCTCGGTTTAGTCAGGGTTCTCTTGAAACGCTCAACGTTCTTCAAACGTTTCATAAAATGCCTAAAAATGAGCCATGGCTCGGGAAAATAGGGTAACAATGTTGCCCATGGAAAAAATCAAGACATTCAAGTGATGCTTAAAATTTTCAGGCAGAGAACGTAATGGCGGTAATTTCGTGAAAGCTATGTGAAGCTCCGACATAATATAAAAACCTAGAGTTAGTTCTCTGACATGCTGGACTACGCCAAACGCTTACGAAAAATCCGTTTTAAGTTCCATGAACTTTTGCTGAGGGTGCTAAACGGTCAGGCAGAGGAACCAAGCCTATACAAAAGGTCAGTACGGAGCCTTTGGTACTAGGACTTGCCCCGTAACTATCTCCGTTTGCCGTACATGACAAAATCATATGCTGCTATGATATGCTGCCGAGTGAAGCGTTTTTGTTCAATGCGGTTTGGGGAAGATGCCTGCCGAACCATGTAAGTCGGCACGTTTGTTTGAGGTAGCACAAAAGTAAACTGAACGCAAATTAAATCTGAAAAAGTGTGGGGCAGTTATCATTACTGCTCCCCATCATCTCAAGAAGTGGGGGGCATGACTCCCCTGGCCGCCTGTTCCCACACCCATGTGTGTGGTGGCTGTGATCCGTGCCTGTCGTGGTGTCGTCGGCGGTTGACCTGAGCCGGCGCGGTCCCCAGACCTGCCGCCGCCGCTGTACTGCCGGCGCCCGGTGCAGCGCCAGACCAGCACCGAGTGCCTGGACCCGGCCGCCCTCTCCACCAGCCCGCCGCCGTCCTACCACAGCGTCAGCAGCTCGGTCAGTTGGCCGCCATGAGCCGGCTCGCCGGCCGGTCGTCGGGAGAGGGGCCTTCAACACTCTGTTGATGGATCAGAATCATGTACGGTGGTGGCGTCGAAAAAGCAATGCTTTTCGTTGTGCTGTGTGTTGAGGGATTCCACTTAAACTGCGCAGTTACATGCATCTCCGTCGTAAGACGAGAGACAATTAGGGGGTGAGGAAGAGAGTTGGATACTTCGCTGCAAGTGTGCAGCGAAAAAGGCTTGTTTAGTCTAGCTATGCGTGCTCAGCCTATCAAGCAGAGGATGACTCTTGATCTCCATGTGAGCAGCCGCGACAACTTGCGTAAAGCTGTTTGTTTTACATTGTTCCGTGATTCTCATCTGTCCTGTAGTTACACACGCACCATCTTCTTTTTTAAAAATGGCCCTTGGCCTTTTCGCAAAGACAGGCAATTGTCGACCCGATCTTAAGGCGTAGGTCTCATTGGGGCTTGGGCTGTATTAAGTTCAGCTTAATCTGGAATAAAATCCACCACATTTTAACCGAGCTCCTCCTAAACAGCACGTGCTGCCGAGCTACGATGACGTTCACGGGGGCCGGAGCCGTCATGCGGCGCAGCCTACAGCCGCAGGCGCGACGCTGGCGGCGGCGCCGGTCGCCGAATCTCGCGGCTGCGAGCCCAGCTGCGGCTGCGGGCGGGCCGAGCTGGAGCAGCGCGACTTTGCGCGGCTAGCGGACCAGTACCAGAGCATCGATGAACAAATATGCCCTTGCGCTAGGTGCCAGGTGAGGCGGACGGCCAGTTCTGGCGGGTAACACTACATAGTTCGTTGGTGTTAGCTCCTGACGCTAGTTGGGATCGTTTGGGGAGCTATGCAGTGGGAGCGGGGTCCATGAGGTGAGTGGAGTAGTGCGACAGGTAGTGTGTTTTACCTCGGATTCGGGTGTTAACGTATGAGCGCCGTATGGCAAGTAGCACCGGTGTGTGCGGGACTGGATCGGACAGGCCAGGAAACAGCATATGATCGCTTATTCACAGAAATGCAGCGAATATGCCCACTATAATCTATCACTGACATCCACACGGTAAATCCCCTAAAATACGTTTTTCCGCCCTTGGTGCTCTTCCAAGGTGCCCACATCCACGTACGGGTTCTCTCACCAGGCAGAGCCGAGCCACCGTTATTGTCACATCGCACCGCTCACCACCAATGAGGCACGGCGGGGTGAGGGGTGGCCAGCGTAGCCTAGCCCCGCAGTTCTCGGTTTGCGATGACCTGCAGCTGGGATCCTATCTCCGCCGACCAGTACATACAGTTGACCTGTGCCCCCTGGGCGAGGTTAGAACAGTACACGCGTGCGGTGAACTCGACCACTGGCCCGTGGCGTACGGGGGGGGGGGGGGGGGGAGGGGGAGGGGGAGCGACCGAGCGCTGCAGCTGAACAGCGGCCGGAGCCTGGCGGCACTCCACCAGCTGCTGCTCCGCCGCTGCGGCGAGGGTTGCGGGCAGTTCTGGCGACCACCAGGCTGCCGGCCGTCAAGCCGGGACAGGATCGATACGTGATAAAGCGAACGGCCATGGCACCGACGTTGGGTTGGTGATGTCTCTTCTCAACCGTTGGGACGAACGACGCGTGGTCACACTCGAAGGATGAACTGGCAGACAAGGCGCACACTCGACTCATTCCAAAGGGAGCGAATAATTGCAAATATCTCACAGTCACATGTGAGAGGACACGGCGATCACCAGGAATAACCCGATGGGCTGGTCTAGATACTGACGGGGCATGCTCACCGCGCTGGAAATTGTCACAGACTGAAGAATTGGAGGACTTGGCGATCCCGAAAACCTATTGAACAATCACATTCCTCGAGTTCTTATCGCAAGCTCAGAATGTCAGGACCTATAATATTATTTACATTGACATGAATGCGCTAGTGACCCCGAATTGTGAGTGACAAAGCGTAGTGAACTGAGTGAACGATGCGTTTCAAAGCGGACATGATGTATAGGTCAGTGGAAAAGTGTCATATGATGTCGTCTGCTGTGTTAAGTGCCGCTACAATGAAAAACATAATTGTGATATGAGGGCGACGTGGTTTTAGGCAAGTTTGTACATGGATGAGGTATCGCCATTTCTGAGAGACTTTGTCTTCCGCAAACGTTCGCCTTAACCACCTCCCCCAATATGCCATCAGTCACCAAGAATCACTCTCTCAAAGAACAGCAAAATTATGTGTTCTAGACGTTTGGCCGTTGACGATTTTAGCTAACTACACCAAGCACCATTATCGGCATGTTTCGTGAGTTGCATTCCGTGAATTGTATGACACGATAGCGCCAAAACTGAATACACAATATTTACATCTCCAGTAAAGGCGATGCTAGGTAAGTGCGAGAAAGAAATCATAAATCCAAGTCCATTACATATTAATAACACACTTCTGGGGAGCTAAAAACGTTTAACAGAAGGAACGTTCATGCTAGGGAAGAGCCCTTGTAAGCAAAACACCCAAGAAAATCCTTTAGGCTCTGAAATAGGAGCTCAGCAATCCACAGCTGAAACATTGTTAATCAAATTGCGCAAATTGCCACGGGTGGGATTTCTGACCGATCTACGATCGAGCTTCGTCTCTCTACGCACATGTGTCATGATGATATTTGTAGCTTCAGGGTTGCGTTTACGTATAAATATGCTGCGCCTTCTTCATGGTATGCCTTGTCGACCCCAGGAACGATACCGCGAGCTGTACCAGCAGATGAACGATGATACCGCCTTGCCGATGGCGACTCCGATGCTGATGCAAGACGTCCTGACCGACGGCCTGGCGTTCTGCTCGCTGATGTAGAGTCGTTTGACGCTCCATCGGTCGCCGTGGTCATCTGGGGGCTCTGCTCGCTGATGTAGAGCCGTCTGACGCTCTAACGACCGCCATGGTCATCTGAGGGCTCTGCTCGCTGATGTAGAGCCGTCTGACGCTATAACGGCCGCCATGGTTATCTGGGGGTTCTGCTCGCTGATGTAGAGCCGTCTGACGCTGTAACAGCCGCCATAGTCATCTGAGGGCTCTGCTCGCCGATGTAGAGCAGTCCGACGCTCCACCGGCCACCATAGCCATCTGGGGGCTCTGCTCGCCAATGTAGTGTTATCTGGAGATCTGCTCGCTGGTGTAGTGATATATGGAGCTATGCTCGCTTGTGTAGTGATATGTGGAGCTCTACTCGTTGGTGCAAAGCCGTCTAGTTCTCCACTAGTTGGTGTGAAGCCGTGTGGCGCGCTGCTCACTGTCATGACGGTCGCCTGCCTTGTGTTTACGCAGGAACGCCCGCAGGCCCGTCGCGTCGCTTTACGTGTGACTGATCGCCGCATCGGGGATCATAGCTCCCACCGCGTGACGTCACAGTCGCGTGCCAAACTATCTATATCGGCCAGGTTCGAGGCATCGCCTCCGTGTAGCTCCGGTCGCTGCGACAAGAGACGCGCCAGTGTCGGTGCAAGAAGCGTAGTGGTCGCGCCTCGGCCTTCGGCTGTAATGGCCCATGGCCCATGCCGTCCGCGCGCGAGAAACAACCAGGTTGGGATAAGTCCATACACTGCCACGGTGACGGCTGCTTCATCGACATGCCATGCCTATCAGCAGTCGTGCAAGCCCCCGACATGGTCGCGATACATTTGCAACCTTACGTTGTTGCCGTGCCCCACATCAGGAAGAACGATGCACCTCAGCGGTGTCCACCCACACCGAGCACGGAACGGAAACGCTTGCAAGCTGTTATCGATTCTGGTGATGTCCCCTTCCCCCATTGAGTCTGAGGTGAAAAACCCAACCGTAATGTGCCACAAAAGTTTTCTTCCCCGAATTCGAGGCAAGACATCTGGGGCTGGTAGCCCACCGCACCTGAACTAATCAGTCGCAGTGCAGTTCTCCAAGTCAGGGCATGTCGCATCACGCTTCCGAGTAGCAAGCTAACAGGACGCGTGCCGCTGGGATAAGGCGGAATCCGGGCCGGACGCAGAAGCTAGAAAACTGCGTGCCAGCCGGGTACACGCATCACTGAAAGACGGCAGCAGCTAGAAGCAAAACAGGTGTGCGCACTGCAGGAAGCAGCTATGTTACTGCCACCACTTATGACCATGAGCCATGACGCGACTGGTTTTTGTCCCGTGCGCGCCACAATGAACGTCTCAGAGAGCTTGGGCAGGGATGGCATTGGAAGGAAGGCACGGCAGACGAGTGGTATGTTCGCTCGTGCGGACGGCAGCTCTGTCGACACGCGCCCTAGCACCGCCGTGTTGTGCCAGGTGACTTGTTTTTGGCAGCGCGTATCGTCCTTTGTGCCACGTTCCATCTTTCCGTCAAAGTAACTGCTGTGCAGCAACGCTGTATATATTAACGAGATAGATGCATATTTTCAGAATGGAACGCTTTGGTCGTATTTCCTGTGTAACGTCGGCAATGTTAATACAGTACATCCAGTACGGCGCGCCGCCCCCTGCTGGAAGGCTGCAACCCTGTGTCGTTGTTCGGCGTGGAGGCCCACGCTCAGCCGCCGTCGTCCCACCGTTCATGGACTACGTGCACTCTCCAGTGCGCTTCCTCTCCAAACCGGCGTTGGCCGCGGCTGCGGCCGCCATCCACGTGTTGACCTTGAGCTGGCGGGAAGGCACCGGCGCCGGAGTCGGCCAAGGCGGTACGTCGCCGGCCGAGCCAGCCGTCGACTCAATGGCAGGAAGGCTGGCAGACGAGTCGCTGCTGGTCGACTGGTGCGAGGCGGCGCGGCCGGCGGCCGGCGCCGTCACGCCGGCCGCCGCCGCTGGTCGCACCGCTGGTCGCCCCGCTGGCCGCGCCGCCGGGCCGGCGCCGGGCAGGGTGGGCCGCGCCGCTGGCCGCGCCGCCCGGCCAGCGCCGGGAAGGGTGGGCCGAGCCCGTGACACGGCCACCAGACGCGGCACGGCCGGCGGCGCGGCGGCGGCCCGTGACGGCGACGGTGGCGCCGCCACCGGCGGCAGCAGGTCGGCCGCCGGCCGCTGCAGCCGACGCAGCAGCTTCCGGCCGGTCTCCGTCAGCTCGCCGTTGAGGGTCTGGAGCTGTGGCAGCCAGTCAGGCAGCTGCTGCAGCTGCGTCCGGTCCGAGCACAGTGGGTTGCCGCGCAGCTCCAGCGTGCACAGCTCGGAACAGGCGCGCAGGAACATCAGCGACACCGACTCTGACAGCTGGTTGTCCTCGACATCGAGCACCTGTCAAGCAGCGAAAATTCTGGTCAGGCTCTCTACACTGCCAGGCTGTCCAAACCTAGATGCGTAATGGACAGCAATCTGGAGAGAAACGGAAACCACGCTTATTTTGTGCACAGAGAAACATCAACTTTTGACACCCTACGTTCCTATCGGCGCGCAGAAAACCAAAAACATTATCATTTCGCAAAAAACTAACGGGCCAGTCACAAACGGACTAAACAGAAGGATCTCCACTGAATGATGCAACTCTATGACATGGCCGCGGGGAGCTACCACCTTTTAAAACACATGACTACCATCCGCCGCCAGTAAACGCGGCGATTGCTCGCGGTCCGGCAACACAGACGGGCAGTGGTGGGCGACGGCCGCTGCCCGCTCCCGGCCAGACCTCACCTGCAGCTGCTCCAGACAGCTGCAGACGGACACGTCGTCAAGCTGGTTCCTGGCCACGTACAGCTCGCGCAGCCGCGGCAGCGCACACACGCCGTCCAGCGTGGTCAGCTGGCAGCCGACCATCCAGAGCACGCGCAGCTGGAACAAGCCCGACCCGAAGGCTCGCAGGCCGCCGGGCAGCGCGGTGCGCAGCAGGCGCAGCTCCTGCAGCCGCGGCAGCCGCTGCAGCGCCCAGCTGAGGCCGCCGGCCGACTCGGGCTCGCTGGTCAGCGAGACGGCACGCACCGCCTCCAGCCGCGCCGTGCCCAGCTGGCGCTGCAGCTCGCTCAGCTCGGTGGCGGCCGTGATGTGCACCAGTCGCGGACCATCGGCCGCGTCCTCTTTCTCCTCCTCATTGGCACGGCGCGGAGGCACCATGTCAGCGCTGCATCCCGGCCGGCAGCTGGACTTCACACCTGGCGATACGGCGGAACGGACAAGAAAACCACTCACGTGAAGATGACACACAAGTTGCCACCGTACTTTTGGCCAAGGGGATACAACTGACAATTCTGGGAGGCAGTGTGATATCCAAGCTGAGTGGGTGAACAGCCACTTCCCAGGTAACAACGTCAAATGCTTATGGTCAAGACTTACGAACACACAAATATCAAAGTAGTCAGAATCATTACTAGATTAGTACTGTTGATTATGACCGCATGAAAATCACTTATGAACTCAATAACTACGATGCTCAAGAAAAAAACTACGTCTCATGATACATTTTGTTTGGAAATATCAGAACATTCTAAACAAGCGGTAGCGAAAACTTTCTAAAATCCGGGGGGTGCAACGGGGCACTCTCTTTTAAGGGAGTGCTCAACATTTGTATGGAGCTTTGAACTGAAATAGCAGTGGTGAATATCATTCGGTGTGGTTCAAACCCCTGACCTTCTTAAGACCGTAACCACTCTAGTTTCTGAGCTATACGTCCACGAAGATGCGCGAACTATTTCAAGGTCACCCAGGTATCCATGACGACATAATAATGCCATTCAAATCTTACCATTCCACTAGAGATGCGGCGATCGAGACCAACATAAATATGTCTGTCGAGTCGTTCATGGCTAGCGTTTGTGAGTACGATTTCCAGATGCGACGCCCGTCAATTGGTTCTCAATCAATGTTGTGCAAGGTATGATGCCGTAATCAAGCAGACGTATCAAGGACCATATTTACTGACCGATCAAATGTTATGATGATAATGATGAAATGATAAAAAAAACACCAGCAACACGAAAAAGGGGATTCTATCTCTGAATGTCTAACGGCCCCGCAGTCCGGGCTCTGTTCGCAGTGCTGTGAATGCTAATCCGTTCTTTTTATAAATATACAGATTGCGATGGTGGACCATGTTCCAGCACTACTTTTTAATGATCACCGTCTTATACCAGCAAGGGGCCGACGACGCGTGGCCCACGGAGACTACGCCGGGTATCGGGGACTGAGAGCTCGCATGGTCAAAGCTGTGTTATCGTATTTTTCCATTGCCGTTCATTTTAATTGGCATTTGAACCAAAGCGAGTTGGGGTCGCTTTCCCCTTCAGTGGCACAGTAGCTTGGAACGGTGCCTCCCAGAACTACAGCTTGCTCGCAGTGCGTGTGATGAAATGAGGGGGAAAGGTATTCTCAAGTGGAGGGCATAGGGCATTTTGGGAAAAGATCGAGAATCATCTTTTAAAATGATGTGTAGAGAAGTACGGATGTCTTGTTTTACAAGAACTAAAAGGCATGTGCTCTGCTGATTAAATTTTGGTTTGATAGTAACCTTTGAGGAGATGGCATGTGATGCCAGACATATTGTAGACCCTTTTCTGACAAATACAGTGATAAATACACAAAAATATTGAAGTAACACACAGCTGAATGTGAACAGATTTCCCTTTCCAGTATACAAGAGAGAGATGCAACCGCAGCCATTCGGCTTCACAAATCAAGTGTGTCTGTAGAAAGCTCACGCAAACTGCCAAGCTGCCATATGTGATTGCCATGGTTACATACATCAACATTAAAAATATGTAGTAAGCACATTTTGCATATATATATATATATATATATATATATATATATATATATATATATATACATATATATGCATGTACATTTATATGATGTGCATATAAACATACCCTTATGGCAACTCCTTTTACAGGGGAGCAAAATGACCACAGTAGTCTGCATGCCCTAAAACTCCAATCAGCAACAACTCCTTTTATGGTGACTCCCAAGACTGGCCCCACAATCATCATGAGAAATTGACACCTGAGTCAAAAGCCACTTTCAAACTTACAAGCAAAGGTAGGTGGGCTCCACTGCCCCTAGAATATCTATGTGAAATGTTTGAGCACATTGAATCAATTCCTTGGCACCCTCCTTTTGGAGGGTGCCAAGGGTGCCACATTTTGGAGGGTGCCACATCACCTTCCTTGGAGTCTTTTTTATACTTCTAGTCCTCGTATAATTTTTTGTTGGTCTTCACATTGCCTTACATGATAACGGGGCAGTGCATCATGGCAGAGCATGGACAGTTGCATTGCTGCTCAAGGTATTTCCAAAAAGTATGTAAAGCAGCAAAACAAACAAAACTAACCATATTTACCTTGTTCAAAATTGGTTATGGTTTGGAAGCTGCCTTTTCGAATCACAGTTTCTGGCTCATACTACAGAAAAAGGTAGTCTTGTCTGTGTGTGTATCCATTTCAATATTAAATTTCCATGGAAATCAGTTGGGTCACAGTCCACCCATCCATTCACCTGTGAGTGTCTTATTATTATCTTCAGTCAGCCACCCACAGACCTATGAGAAATCGCTAACAGGCATTTAGCACCACCTATAGTTTAATTATACCAGACATAGGCAACGCCGAAATCCACTAAATATCTACATCCAGCCAATAGCACACATTTAAACAAAGCTGGAATCCACAAAATACCTCAAGACCCAATCATATACCGTTGATGCAACCTTCATCCGTTTCAAAGGTGCCGACTGACAGATTATCCCGCTGCGCTATGCATCAACGTCGTTATTCGCACCCCGCCGCTTAGCCCCATTATGCCTAATTACATGGCTTGGATTTTGCCTTGCGCGCTTCGCGTATGTTCAGCGCATCGAGTTCGCCGCAAAATTTGTTGTTGAAGATTGCTTAGCAACGGTGCTGCCATCCATCGCTATGGAAAATCCAGCGCAAAAACAGTAGAATTATGTGCCGCATAAAAAGCCTATAGAGGCCAATATCTTATCTTAACAGGAGGCTCTGGCAGCAGAGGCGTAGTTTTGCAATGCGAGTTTGGGACTGAACGGTAAAAATGACCCAACCAGCGCTGAAAACATGCCAACAAGCAGATTTCTCCCCGGAATTTGCCCACTTCCTTCTCAAAGTTGGGGCAAGGGGCTGACGGCCAAGTGGGGGGGAGGGGGGCGGCAGGGTGCTCGGGGGTTAACCCCCCTAGTTTAATATAAGACTACACCCCTGTTTGGTACTCCGCTCTTTTGCTGCAAGGCTTCCTGGCGGTTTGTAGCTGCCAGCGCAGCGCCTACGACAGATCTTCAAGGTTTTTCTCAACTTGCGAAATTATACATCGGGCTCGCAAACAATTATTCCAAATCTTCAGCCTCCGTTTATTGGTTCTATTCAAATATGCGCGGCCAGACCTGGATGCCACCTTCATTGCCAATGTTCCGGAAGAAATAGATATGGATAGTCAGGTTTGAACAGTTAGGTTAGAGCATAAGTTTCTTTTCAATCGGAAGGGGCAGGGCGGGCTCCCTGCTCATGCTTGGGAAGACAATAGGCTGAATCCGGAGAAAAATCCATCTGTTGACGTATTTCAGGAGTAGTTTCGCCATCTTTTACTGCTTGGCCCCGTTCTCACCCCCACCCCACTGCAACCTTCATGTGAAGCTACACGCCGCTGAACGCCGTTGTTCCGGATCTTCTACAGGAGCCTTTCTCTTCCACGCCTCGCATTTTAAAACGCCGCACCGATAAAATAGTAGAAGAAAACACCTGCCGCGCGTTGTAACACATCAACCCTTTCCCTGGGGCCTTCGATGTTTTGCCACATGATGACGATATACGGGTGGCCGCCTATTGTAAAGCGGCACCGTCCTCCCAATACTTCAACTTAACGATGGAAGCGGCTTGAATCAGTCGAGAGGCCATTGCGCGAACTGTGGTCCTCTTGGTCCGGGCGTCGGGTTCCCGTTCGCAGGAACGACACCAAGGTACCGCTAGAAATGTTTCAAAAATGAAGTTTTCGGTGAAATACACCTTTGCTAATAAAACCTGGCCCCGTATGCCTGCCTTTTCAGCACCCGGTCTGGCCCGGCCGCCCGACGGTGAAGGTTCCGGCCGCCATTTTGAACATTGTGAGCTCCGTGCCGGAAAACAGCGAGTCCCCGCACACATTTTATTGTCCTCAGTCACAGGGTGTGCAGTCATTCTCGCTAACATCATAATTTACATGCCTCATACCCAGAGATCCGAGGAGGGATGCACACAACGCATGCTAGGCTTTTGCATGCCTAAATGTGTTGCCGCAGCGCGTCACAACTGGTTCACACGCGTGCGCTATGCAACGGCCCTGAGACGATATGAACGTAAAGCAACACATCATTTTAGAATGTGGGCGGATGTATGACTTGCTATACACCTTTTTGACCGTGCCACATCACAAAGTGCCTGTAGCAAGCCTTCTCTCCAGCTGACGTCTGGCATCTAGCACAGGGAACAGCGCGTGCGACACCTTCAGCTGTTATACAATTACAATATGCAACAAATACCGCATATTGACACACTCCGAAAATTTGGCCCGCTTCCAACTGCAAATGCCCCCAGCCAACGCCGCTTATCCGAACATATTCGGCCATGCAGTTATCTTCAGCTTATTGTATTGGGCCAAGTAGAAGCCTGCGCCCGGCTTCGCTACCATCAGCCTTTTATGATCCGTAACGAGCGTGAACAATACGCTGGCCTCGGAAAACATCACACAGCATCCTCTGAAAGTCCGGACGGCGTGTCTCCTCTTCTGATGCATAGGGGAGTGGATTACCTGAGTGCTTTTAGCGTAATAGCAAGCGTAAACGACGCTTTTGACACCCTGCACATCGACCCATGCAAACCCAGCAAAGGAGAAATCAAGTCATTCAATAACGTGGTATTGAAAACGCTTTTTATACGATAGCCCACAATCGACGAACGTGCGCCATTCGTCAAGCTCAAGAGACTGAGTATGATACAGCTCTTCAAGACACCAGGTCAATATCACACGCACGGAAAACACAACCGAGACAGATAATTCCACACATTGTGAAACCTCAATACACTAGTGGCATAGTCTGGTAAGTGAACACAAATGCAGCCACCAAAGAAATACCGCGTCCAAGCGATTACAAATCCCTGAAGATTACCATTTACTATCTACCAATTGGTTCAATTAGGTGTGCGACGAAGTGCAATCACGCGTGGAATGCAGCCGTTGGTAGTCCTCCATCACTTCAGCAGCGCCTGACACTATCAGCCTCGAAGCCGACTCGGCAGCCACAGGACACCGCCAGTCTCGGTAGCCACAGGACGCCACCAGTCTCGGTAGCCACAGGACGCCATCAGCCTCAGCAGCCACGAGACGCAATCTCGGCAGCCACAGGACGCCACCAGCCTCGGCAGCCACAGGACGCCACCAGCCTCGGCAGCCGCTTCAGCAGCCGCCCGGCTCCAACAGCTGCGTGACGGCGGCACGGAGGTCGGCACGCAACGTGTCGCCCTCCTCCTGCAGCAGGTGGCGCAGCTCGTCGTCGGCCTGGTGCGGCCCGGCGGCCAGCAGCCGGCCCAGCAGCAGCAGATCCAGCCGTCCGGTGCCCTCCAGCTGCAGCGGCAGCTGCCGGGCGCTGCGGTACAGCGCAGCCAGTGGCGCCGCCTGCCGCGCCGTCAGCACGCGGCCGCCCAGCAGCTCGGCGGGCTCGGTCAGCATGAAGCGGTCGGCGGCGGCCAGCAGCGGCAGCCACAGCCGTGGCGGCAAGTGGTCCAGCAGGCGACAGCCGCCGCGGCAGCCGTACGCCAGGTGCACCAGCGGCGCCGCCACAGCGCGCTCCAGCTCGCCCAGCGGCACGCGTCGGCTGCTGGCCTCGCGGAAGCCGCCGGTCAGCAGGGCGGCCAGCACTGGCCCGCCGGCGGCCAGCGGCGCGCGGCGCGCCGCCACCTCGCCGTCGGACAGCACCAGTGTCAAGTCGGTCGGGCCCGGGTCGGCGAGGTAGAGGCACGGCTGGGGTGGCGCGGCTGGCGGTGCCGCTGGCCAGGCTGGCACCAAGTGCTCGCCCAGCGCCAGCAGCGCGCCGGCCGCCGGCTCGGCCCACTCGCCGCCGCCGCCGGCTGCGGTCAGCAGCAGCTCCAGACCGCGCCGGCGCAGTAACAGCCGACGCAGGCTCGTCTGCAGGCTGTAAGACGCCGACTATTAGCGGGGACTGACCGGACTACGACACCATGGAGTACACCGACGGGACGAAAAGCAAAGCGGTGGAAATCTTCAGTCCTGCGCAGTGCTTGACGTGTTTCTCTTAAACGCGTCGATGTCGAGCTCACCAAAGAGCAAATACAGCTTAGGGAAAGACTAACAGCACAACGAGCACTTGCGCACGACTGCCATGACCGGCTCACGTGGACATCAGCACCAGCGCACACGAAAACCCGGCCGGGCGTCCCCTCACCGGACGACGATGGCGGCGGTGGTGACGGCTGCCATGGCCTCGGCGTCGCCCAGCTCCAGCAGTGACTCGAGCACGCCCTGCCCGTACCCGGTCTCGGCCACGGCGCGCAGCGCGTCCAGCGGCAGTTCGGCCTGCGCCGCGGACAGTCGGCTGACGCACAGCCACGCCAACCGCTGCCTCACCAGCGAGCGGAAGCAGGACGGGTTCCTGCCGGCACAGGCGGCGCTGGCGCACTCACAGCCTCCTGACTCGCCGCCAGCCGGGCCGGCACACAGAGTACACCCCTGGCGACGCGAGCGGCCCTAGCACAAAGAACTTGCCACTGACAGAGCGCGCGGCGCAGGGCCAAGTAGTTCTGGTCACTAACGGCACAGTTGGGCTGAGGCACACAGCGATGGCGCTCCTAACCATAAAGCCAATGCTGGCGAACGAAATGGGTCGCCGGTAACAGAGATTTCTCATGACGCCGCGGGCCACCTCAAAAATAACTGACGCGTCAAGTACCATCGCAGATTGAATTCACGCCAGTCCCGTGGCTGCAGCGCAGTAGCAAAGAGCGGAGAGTGCTGCTCTACGCCTTCCCTCTCACCTGCAGAGGCGTGCTAGAATGCGCGAGGCGCGCGCCTGCGGCCGCGGCGCGTGGCGCAGGTAGTCGAGAAGTGCAGCGCAGCTGGGCGGCGCGCTCAGCTGGCGGTCGGGCCGCTCAGCCTGCGACTCGCGCGACAGCAGCAGCAGCAGCCAGGTCTCCTCGTCGCCGCCGCGCCGCCGGCCGTCCGGCGAGCCGCGGCATCGCTTGCCGGGCGGCGAGCGCGGCGGCGAGCGTGACGCACCGTCGGCAGACTCGGCGCTCGGGCACCGTTTGGCCGCTCCGCCGGGCGATTCGGCCGGCGGAGAGGCGGCTGGGGAGTACCGGGGTCCTTTCCTCGGGGCAGGCGGCGACCACCGCGACCCACCTGGCCAGACTGGAGGTGAGAACTGCGAGCCTCCGAGCGAAGCGTCCGGTGAGAGCCGGGACCCGCCGGGCATGGCGGGCGGCGAGAATTGTGAGCTTCCGGGAGAGGCTGACGGTGAGAACTCCGAGCCTCCGGATAACGCGAATGGCGAGAATCGCGAGCCGTCGGGCGAGGTTGACGCCGAGAGACGCGAGCTGGCCAAGGACGAGGCAGGCGAGCCGGGACCGGCCCACGAGGGCGGGCTGCCATCGGGCGAGCACTGCGGCGAGCTCGCCAGGCTGTCGGTGGGACTGAACGACTTGTACAGGCGCTCGGGCGGCTCGCCGGCGGCGCGCACCTGGCGCAGGTAGGCCGCGATCTCGCGCTCCACTTGCTGGTAGGTGGGGCTGTCGGCGCGGAACGTGCCCGGCGAGCTGGGCCGCTCGGCCCGCTCGGGAGAGCCGTCGCGCCAGCCCGACACGAGCGCCTGCAGCCGGCGCACCAACACCTCCAGCAGGCCGGCCGCCTTCATCTGCGCGAAGCCCGCCTCGTCGTACACGAACTGGAAGAGGGCGTGCAGCACGCGGCGCCGGAGCGGCTCCGGCTCGCGCTCCGAGCCGAGCAGCGACACCAGCCAGGGCAGGCAGCCCAGCGCGCGCAGCCTCGCCCGGTTCACCGACTCCCAGCAGAACAGACACAGCGCGCTGACCAGGCAGCTACGGTCTGAAACATGCACGCCGTGCGTCACACAGACGTGCTGGAGTGACGGCAGCGCCTGAATGGAACAGGTGGTGCTTCTGTCAGCCAGTGGTCAAAGCACTGACACCATGAAATTACACCTGTGAGTAGATTACAGCAGCAACATTAACGCACAAGGACAGGCGGAGATTATGCATAGCTCATGACAGTATTGCTTTGCCACCCTTCCGGAGAAGGGGAGGAGGGGGAGGGGGGGGGGAGGGGGGAGCAGTCAAAGGGATCCGAGAGGCGACAAACGGCTGTTGTCGGGTCCGTTGCAATCTTACGCAACATAACCGCCGTACCGTTTCGCGTCCCAACATAATTGACCATGGAACAGCGACCTTTGCTTCGCGCACATTCATAGCGTTACGTTATGCACCGCGCCTCTCGTTTTCGCCCCTTACTCCACGCACTAGCAAGGGAGCTAACGCTGACCACCTCCGACGCGCCGTCTTCTAAGTCAGAATCTGGTACCGTCCCGGCCGCTGGCTGCCGGACTTGGCTCGACTTCTGGTCCGCACCCTGGTCCGGCTGCTGGTCCGCACCTTGGCCCGGCTTCTCGTCTGTGCCCTGGCCTGCCTCCTGGCCCCCGCCCTGGCCTGGTCTCTCGTCCCGCCGTCGGGCGCCGTCGTACAGCATCTGGAGCAAGCCCAGCTGGCCGAGCGGCGGCCGCAGCGACGACTCGCGGGCTAGCACCAGCACCAGGCGGAGCGCGGCCGACCCCAGCTGAGGGTCCGGCGACGCGCCGGCTCCGCACAGCCGCAGCAGCGCCGGTAGCGCCTCGCTGCACTGCTGCATCTGCCGGTCACACACAAACACTGCTGCATCCGTCGGTCACACATACACCCTGCTGCATCTGTCGGTCACACACAAACACCGCTGCACCCGCCGATCACACATACACACTGCTGCATCCGTCGGTCACACACAAACACTGCTGCATCCGTCGGTCACACACAAACACTGCTGCACCCGTCGGTCACACACAAACACTGCTGCATCCGTCAGTCACACAAATACTGCTGCACCCGTCGGTCACACACAAACGCTGCTACACCCGTCGGTCACACACAAACACTGCTGCATCCGTCGGTCACACACAAACACCGCTGCATCCGTCGGTCACACACAAACACTGCTGCATCCGTCGGTCACACACAAACACTGCTGCACCCGTCGGGCGCACACAAACACTGCTGCACCCGCCGATCACACAAACACTGCTGTATCTGTCGGTCACACACAAACACTGCTGCATCCGTCGGTCACACACAAACACTGCTGCACCCGCCGATCACACAAACACTGCTGCTGATGATGATGATGATTTGGGGTTTTAGGGCGTATCGACTGCTGAAGGTCATGCAGCGCCCAACACACACAAACACTGCTGTATCTGTCGATCACACACAAGCACTGCTGCACCCGTCGGTCACACACAAACACTGCTGCATCCGTCGGTCACACACAAACACTGCTGCTCCCGCCGATCACACAAACACTGCTGTATCTGTCGGTCACACACAAACACTACTGCACACGTCGATCACACGCACATTGCTGCATCTCTCGGTCATACACAAACCCTGCTGCATCTGCCGGTCACACGCAAACACGGCCGCATCTGCCGGCCAGACATAGACACCGCCGCCATTCGTCGCCGCGCCCGGGTATGACTGCTTCTGAGGGCGATGCGATAGCATACCTGCACGGGAACAAAACACTGGCGCCACAAACGGCCGCGAGCTCACCTGAGCACCGGTCTCGCGGGCGGCCTGGTCGGCGAAGTGTGCCAGCGTCTTGAGAGCTTCGCGCGCCAGCTGGCCGTTGCCGGAGCCGAGACCGGCCGCCACCGTCACCAGGCACTCGGTGCGCAGCAGCCGGCGCTGGTGGCTGCTCGTGTCCGCCATGTTCCTGCCGGAACACATCGCCCGGTCAGCAGGCGCAGGCAGTCGGCGGGTCAGTAGGGGTGGCACGCCACGACGCCGTCAGGTTCCTGCCGCGACGGACGCGCGCCGCCAGGACACACAAGTTGTTGCCGCATGTTTAGTGAACCGAACCAGGCGTGTGTGGGGAAACATTCAACACCTGCCGATTATACATGTGTCGCCTACGGCAAGACAGCATGCCCGAGCGTTACTTCGTCATAGATCCCGACAGTGATACTCCTGGATCCCAAAGGAAATCTCGGATCCCACCGCAGAGCCTTCAGTGAGGATCCGTCTACGGGAGAACGCCCGCCTGGACGCGAGGACTCGCTGGCCGGCTTGACGCGGTGGCCAGCCCCCGGCCGCACCTCCACAGGCGGAATATAGTGATGCGTAGATGGTCGGAGGGTGGTGCCTGACCCGGCTCGGCCGCCAGCAGCGCCGCCACCACATCCAGCGTGTCCTCCTGGTGCAGCGTGCGGCACAGCGATGGCTCCTGCGCCAGGTTTGCCAGTGTCCGGCAGCCACGGTTGGCTACGTGCGGGTCGGCCACGATCTGGATCTGCAGCACAGCGAGGCCGTAGCGCCGAGGCGTCACGCGACTGCCCGACGCCACACGGACGCGTCACACGACTGCTCGACGCCGACGGACGCGTCACGCAACTGCCCGACGCTGCACGGACGCGTCACGCGACTGCCCGACGCCGCACGGACGCGTCACACGACTGCCCGACGCCGCACGGACGCGTCACATGACTGTCCGACGCCGCACGGACGTTGGCTCTCTTCCGTGGCGGCGCAGCCCACATGCGCTTGCATCGAAACAATACAAATACTCCTCAACACATCGAGCCACTATATCAACGCTGGTATGCCCACACCCAATGTATTGACTTTCTTACCAATGCATGTGAGGTGCAAACAACTATGCTCATCCTTCTTCCCTGATAGCCTGTGTCCGAATGCATGACTGTTGAATAAATAAAATAAATAAATGTGCCCTGTGCCGGCACCTCCCGACAGCATGCTACCACAGTTCGCAGGCCGTACCACATTGAGGACAGCGTGGAGTCCGCCGTGACGAACGAAGTGCTGTCGCCCGGCCGGTCTGGTGGTGCAGTTGCCCAGTATGCTGAGCACCAAGTTGAAGACGTCCGCCGGCTGCGGCTCGCGCAGCAGCCGCGTCAGCTCCGCCAGGCCGCCGAGCTCCACGAACCGCTCCAGGCCGGGCCTGGTGGCGATCACGCGGCGTCGCACCTCGGCCAGGGTGGCCAGCAGCTGGTCCCGGTCTGGCTGGGCGGCCAGCCGGGCAATGGCTGCCTTGGTGTCAAGCCGGCCCATGGCTGCAGGGGCGGCTGCTCAGCTCTCGTCTCACCAGGCGACGACGCTCAAGCACACCACCTGGTGGGACAAACACAGTGGTCTGGCCATGACATGTGTCAAAATGTGATTGATCTGGAAACTGACATGCATGCTGGGTGTTAAGCATGCACCAACAATGCTTGCTATGAAGGCAAGCATGAACAGCAGTCATGACATCCTTAAGCATGTTTGAGTGCTACAGCCTTACAAGAGCACATTTTCCTATGAGTAATAATATATCAAGCTCAACTGGTCTTTCATACTCCTCTCACATGTACAATTTGGTGGAGTTGTTTAAATGAAGTTCTAATGCTTTTGTGACATTAGGGGTGCACTATATTGCTAGAGGGTTCAGACCATTTTTTGCACAACCAAAAAACATGAGAGTTTAGAAAATGAGCTTGTGCTCATGACTTTTCTATGAACCTTATCAAGCCACTGCAGATCCCAAATCTACCTTGCTATCAGTTGCCATGCACCATGTAGAGCCCACAAGATGTGAGCACAGCATGGGCATTCAATGCTGTCACAGGTATCTGACTGCAATATGTGTGAGATTAGGCCTGGTATAGCACAACATGCTGGCTGTGTAATAATGCTAACTGAAAACTTCTACATAAGACCAACATCAAAAACATTGCCAGCCACAAGAAAAGGCACTGCCAGGACTTGAACAAGAAATGACTGCCAGGACAAACTCCCATCCTCTTCCACAACCAAACACAAGAACAGCTATCCTTATAAAACATCCAATAAAGTGTATGAAAACTTCTATCATGATGGCAAAATTTAGCCAAAGATGACCATACCCAAGAACATTGCAAAACAATGATTATTTTCCTTTAGTAGCTCATATTTTGATTGTGAGCAATGTCATCCTGCCAAAAAACTCGATGCCTATCCTCACACTCAGTGGTGCACATGGCAAGTAACCAACTCTGTGATATTTCAAAAGGTCCTGAATGGTGTGTGGTATTTGTATACTTTTAGTACCTTTTTGCACACCAATTTTTGATAAAATAAAATAAGTTTTTGGCTCCAAGCATGTCAGATAAATGAACTGCAAGTATTTGATAGGCCACATAAATTCCCACTTGTTAAATGTGCCATCTTTTGTTTATATACTATGATTTAGTTATGCTTTAGTGTGACAAACATTTCTTCATATTGTTGTTGTTACCTAACAGCTGACCTTGAATGAACTCATTTGTCGCTGAATTATGATGGACTTAATATGTAGTTTTCAGTGGCATGGTTTTACTTCCCCTATTTACTAACAGCTAATATACATTCACAACAGCTCCAATGCCTCTGTCAAATACTGCAAGTAACTATATGATTGGGGGCTGACCACAGCATTGTGATCTGCCATTTTGTTCAGGGGCTGAAATAAAGTAGAGAAAAATACAATTTCAGGAGTGATTGTGCAAAAATAAAAAAATGATGGCTGCCCTTCCATCGAAGAAGCAGGCGCGAAAAACGTCCCTAAGCAGACCACTGTCAACATTATTAGGTTTGCCTTACTATTTCCTCTCAATTACCGACGGCACCTTGGATCGAAGGTAGCACCCTACCGCACAGCACAGTTGAATAATCATGGACTGTACAGGACTCTAAAATCCGGCCTGATGAGCCTGACTTGTTTCATTCGCGCCGTATGGAATATGGACCGAACGTCACGCGAAAAGCAATTGCAGCAGCCGGGCTAACAAGTTTGTAACACACCTTCAGCACATGGCCCTGTCTGCAGCGAATCCCCAAATTTCACACGATTCTTGCCCTATCAGCTGCTATAGCTGATCAGCTGTTTCGGTATAGTGACGCATTGGCTCATGTGCGCCATCATGCAGAGCGATTTGCGGTCTGTACGCAGCCAATACATTGTTTTCGGCGCCAGTACAAAACCCTGTAAAGACCCGCTGTGCCTGTGTTGCATGTTGTGGCTGTCTTTGCTACGGTATGTGCGTATGATGCTCTCGGGGGCGATTTTTCTTGCTCTTAAAAGGATGGGCAGTACTTGAAGAAAATCGAAAAAATAGGAGTGCGCTGAAACTTGTAGGGGGCTTTCGGCAAGTGACCTGGATGCCACCAGCTAAATTGAATGTGCACTGTCTCAGAATGGTGCAGCCTACTTGTTGTATTCTCCTTAACAGTGGCCATGCCCTCATTTTTTCACTGAAGCGCAGTTTTATCTAGAACTTTGTTTTGAAGATAAGTGGCCTGGTCACTATTAATGGGGGATTATGGAACAAGGAATCTAGGAGAACAAGAAGTCACTGTTGTGTTTTATTTAGGTGGGTGGGTGCATGGTTTGATACTACCACCTCATTGCTATGTATGCAAGCAATTTATAGTGCAAGTGCTAAAGAGCAGTCACAAGTGTTTTATCAACCCTCAGAGTTATGATGAACATGAAGATTCCTCATGAGTGTGACAAGTTAAACATGCTTTGATATCCATGCCTGGAAATTCAAGCATTCTTGAATTAACCCTGCTTTTGCCATTCTTGAATTAACCCTGCTAAAGGATCTTCTTTAGTTTAATACTTGAGAACCATGTCTGGAGTGGAAATTACTTTGTATACCTTTATGGTGCTTGCAGTGTAATACACGGCAGGACCCCAGATCAAAGCAAAATGATAAAGGAGACCAACATGCTAGTGATATGATAACTCAGCAGGGTGCTGCTGGGAAAGCTGGCAGTGGTCCTTATCACACTGGAATGAGAGCCAATCCTTCAAAATTACATGGAGTTGCATCTAGAAGTCTTTTCAGTGAAATGTTACCTTTTCATGAGTCTTATAGCCAATTGTTGTATGTTTAGGCATGAACTTTATTTGCTGCAGTCAATTTGTTTCTTAAAAGAATTGCTTTTGAATTTATTTCAGGAATATGCATCAAGTTGCTGACACTCCTCTTAGGTACAGAAATGTTGACTGGATCCACAGATTGAGGGAATATCACCATGATTAGTGGAAATTTTGGGTATGTGCTGCAATCAAGCTGATTATATGAAAGTTTGATGCATTTCTTTGCAGATGTTTAAAGTTTTAGGTTTTAGGACATAAGTCTGAACATGACCAAAATGTCAGCTGTCAGTTGCTTTCTCACATGTTGTCACCATCCCATCCAGGCAAGCTGTACTAGACTGCCATTTCCCTAAACTTTGATCTTTCTAAGCTGTTCAGTTTTCTCAAGAGTTCCACATGGAGCTGTTGGAGGAACAGATCAACACAATCAAGAGCCTTCTGTTGGTGGTAAGCAGACTTTTTATTGCTGTGCCTCTTTCTTTGACACAGTAAATCTGACTGCCAATTTTGAGTTTTTATCAGTGTTAGTATCCTGCAGTTTCATGCAGATGCTGGTAATTTACATTCAGTGCTTTGGTATCAACTGAAATAGAGCTTGCCACCCTCACGTTGCCTGGAGTCCGGACTGTGAGAGCTATGATAACACATTCATATTGCATCATTGGCTGCAATGGCATGTATGTTCAAGGCCTGACATGTGCAGTTTACCATGGTGTGTTGCGGGAGTGCGATGTGTTGGAATGCGTTTTTGCACACGTGGCATACTTAACTCAGAGTGCACAGTTTCATGTCCCATCAAACCACACATAACCCAAGGTTTGTGCCCCCCAGTCCATTGGACACCAGTGACCGAGCATATGCTGTTTGCCTTGCAGCCATATGAGTGCGTACCTCCGGCCGTGTTCCTGTACGGCCACCCGAGCACGGGCAAGACGACGGCTCTCACCCACGTGCTGTCCCAGTTCGCCGGCCTCAGCGCCGTGGTCAGCTGCGTGGAGTGTTACACGCCCGCGCTGCTCTTCCAGCTCGTCCTGCGCCAGCTGGCCGGTCAGTTGCTGTCGTGCGCGCGCCCCGCCTCGGGCTGCTCTGCAGCTTCGCGTCTTGCGTGTGACGGTCGGTCAGTCGCTGTGTTGTCCGCGTCCTGCGCCAGGTGGCGGGACCGTAGCGGCTGTGTCTTGCGTGTGGCGACAGCGCGGTGTGCGTCCTCTCTTGCATGATGCGACGTGGTCCGTGACCCGCACAAGGTGCCGCCTTTGCGGACTGCGTCGCGTGCTGACCTGCTCGTGGCGTGGGCGGGCTGGAAGTGGCGGCTCGGGCCGCGATGGTACTGACCAGCCGGCGGATGGCAAATACAGCTGCGGCCTGGTCCTCCTGCCGGCCAGCTGGAGTTGGACCGGCACCGGCACGACGAGCTTGACGTGACGCCTTTCTACGGCTTTTGGGGGGAGCGGGGGGGGGGGGGGGCGAGGGAAGGAGCGGGGGAGACTGCACCCACACTCCGGCCGGGCCGGTGTAGCTGGATACGATGCGACTGCCGCTGGCGCCCTGTGCCCGGCCTTGCCCGCCGCTTCGCTGGCTTGCTTGTCCTCGCCGACCAGCCGTGGCTTCGCCCGTGGTGCGCGCGGGGACCAGGCTCGGTCGGCCGCTCCAGAGCACCCGACCCGCCGTCCGGGCTCCTCAGACTGCTTGTCCGTAGCATACGACGCCTGAGCGTCGCGGACGGACGCGACGACTGCAGTACGCGTGCAGTCATGACGAAGATCATTCCCCGGTCTGCCCACGATGGCCGCTGGCCGATGTAAAAGACATGCCATGTGAGCTCGGACAATCGTGCCGGTAGACGTACAAACGCGTGCCTCTCGCGCGAGGCAAAACAGCTTTGCTCTGGATATTAGAGGTGCTATATCTGTGAATGGTGTTTCACGACGGGCAATTGTCCCCTGAAGTGCTGCGCTTGATGTGTGTGTGTGTGTGTGTGTGTGTGTGTGTGTGTGTGTGTGTGTGTGTGTGTGTGTGTGTGTGTGTGTGTGTGTGTGTGTGTGTGTGTGTGCGTGCGTGCGTGCGTGCGTGCGCGTGCGTGTGGGTGTGGGTGTGGGTGGGTGTGCGCGCGCGCGTGCGTGTGTGCGTGCGTGCGTGCGTGCGTACGTGCGTGTGTGTATGTGACAAAGTACTTGATGTTCGTGTCCATTATGTGAGACAAAAGCCAAGTTCTGAAACAGAGCGAGGTTCAGCAACTAATCTTACTTTTCGGGGTAGATCGGTATGCTGTAGGTTCGTCTAATTCTGTGAGATATCTAGTGTGGTGTCTATAGTTTATCTAAAGCTGCTTTATGGCGGAGCTCCGTACGTGAACAGGCTAATCCAACCATCAACTATTACTCATAAACAAGTTATCTATGAATATGGTGACAAAGTCTTCAATGTGGTGTTTTATATGCATGAATTGGGTAGATATGTTCCGCCAAATTCGTCTTTCAGTATACTTGGATTGAATGTCGCTCCAAGACGCATGATATGGCGTAAAAGAAGAGTGCGATGCAAGAGTGGTAGTAGACGAATCTGTTCTCCGAAAAAGCGGTAGCGGTTTCAGTCTTACGGATATTTCTTGTACATTTGCTTTGACCTTTGCCTGTAATTGGTCTTGTCTGATTTGTTCCGATTTTCCTTTTCCGTGACCAGTGCAATACATTTTTGGTAAGAGCTCGAAAAACATCCAAAAGCTGTAGACTAGTGGTACGCAAACCATTTCGTCTTTGATCCCAAGGACAGTGGACTGATACGCAGGTCGATCTTTGGGACCACAAACGTTACCTGGTGCCCATCATTTCAAAACTTCGCGGGCATATGACGTGACATCTGCATTCCTCGCCTCATCTTGGCCGTTCGTTTCTGTGGCCGTTACCGAGTGCCACAACACACCAACGACGCTTTATATTACCACGCCGTCACACCTGCACCACGAACACATCGATGTCGAACAGCCAGAGGATGAAGCGGGCGCCGGCCACGCAGAGCACGATCCGCGCCGGCACTGTGCCCAGCACGCAGCGCTTGAACTCGGAGAGGGCGCAGGCCAGGCGGCCGGCCTGCGCCTCCGAGTCGCAGCTGCTGTCGTCGTCGCAGGCGCCGCCACCGGGGCCGGGCCAGAGCCACTCGGACCAGCGGCCGGCCGGCGTGCACGGATCGACGGGCTCGGGCTCGCCGCACGGGTCGCGCGCGCAGCAGTCGCAGCAGCCGCCCGGGCAGAGGCACGCACCGCGCCGGCCCCGCTTGCGACACCGGCCCATCGCGACACGCGGGGCGGGGAGAGAGGCGTGCGGTGGAGAGAAACTCAGCGGCGCCGGCCAGGCTGGGTGTTGGTATGTTGGACGCTGAGGTCAAGCGCTTCCTGTTGGTTTGCGAATGATTCGCTTGTTTGTTTTTTTTAGCTTCGGAGAGCTGGCCCGTCAGTCACGTGGATCTTTTCTTGTGATTGTTTTAGTTGCAGTCTCTTCGTGGCGCTTCTGTAGCGCGTCGGCGCTTGTGTTGGCAAGCTATTACGAACGTTTCGTTCCAGATACGTTGTCGATATGGTCGTTCTAAGGCAGGCTGATAATCGCCGTCAGTGACTACTGTAGGGGTTTCCTTAGTACGGTTTCGTGATCGGTTAGCCGTGTTAAACACGTTTAACACCACAATTTATGCAGATGACACATTTATGGTTTGATTCCGCGGACCCAAAACGTGGTATTTTGTCTAACATCCTCCTCTTCGGGCATCGTCAACATTTCAGTACTTCTGCAGATGAAATGAGCTTTGGATGATGCCAGCGTGGTTTGAGCGATATTTGGTGTCATGGTGTTTTAGTGCATGGTTGTCTTGTTAAGTTAATCACTTCATCTCATGCTTACTTTATCTCTTGTCCTTGTCTATCTCTTTATTCCTTGTCCTATCCTATTTTTGTCTTCCCCTTTGGTAGTATCCAGGCTAGCATCCGATATATTTTCGGTTAAGCAGCGTACCTGTTGTGTAATGCCACATGTTTTACATTCCAGGCGAGGATCAAAGGTGTGACAGTGTGAGCAGTTTTGTATCAACACTGCAGCGCATTGCGGATGAACACCCTGAAGAAAATATCGCCATTGTGAGTGGCTTTGTTTTGTCTTTGGTATTGTGCTGATGTGATTCTTCTAAACTGTGTGCCGTCTGTTCCGGGAGCTCGTTTGGTTAGTGGACCGGTGTTCGGATTCACTCACTCCTGGTGATCGCACATCTTAAGTGCTAGATGCTCACTCTCCAATGGTAGCAAACTTTTGGAAGCGTGCTTCACTCAAGCTGATGGTGATCATACCCGTGTGTTTTTACTCTGCTTTCAGGTATCCAACTACTTGACGCACTTGCTTAACAATGTAAAGTGATGTAGTCAGACAATTCGTAAAACAGACTATTGGATCCGATTCTACTAACGTCAGATTCGAATCCGCGCAGGATATTTGTGAAACAGAGTCGGAGTCGAATACCTTCGCTTTTGACAGCCGGTGTCAGGTGTAAAATCAAGTTCAGCCTCTAAATGACGTGGAGTCCGAGGTGTAATAATCTATGCATACTGTGGGTGAGAGTCCGCTCTGCTCATCTGGAGTTGAACATAACTTTGCTACCATCCTAGACATAACTCTGCTACCATTCATCGGGTCAGCTGTGAGTGCCCACGAGCCTGCTACGCCCCACGCACCTAGTGTGCATCTGGCAAGTGTACTGCCCGTGGCTTTCGATCCCCTCTGCCCGCCGCTTGTGACCTATTCGCCCGTCTTCCTCCCGCTGTCTGTGACGTCTGCTCGGCTCTTGTGACCTCTACACCCATCCCTTTTGACCTCTACACTCGCCGCGTGTGACCTCTACCCATCGCGTGTGATCTCTACCCACCTGTTTGTGACCTGTGTGCTCGCCGTTCGGCCGGACGGTCAGGTGCTGAAGGACGCTGAGCGGCTGCGGGACCAGGACGCGTCGCTGCTGCCGACCCTGCTGCGGCTGCAGGAGCTGGCCGCCCGCCCCGTGTGCCTCGTGCTCGTCTCCAACATCATCTGGGACAAGTTCCTGACACCGGGCGGCCTGCCGCAGCCGCTGCTGGTGCATTTCCCGCAGTACAGCCGCGGTGAGGACCGTCACGTCACGTGTGCCCCCCCCCTCCCCCTGCGTGTGACACCCCCCTCCCCCTGCGCGTGACACCCCTTGGTTTACCGGCACGCGGGCGCGGGTTGGACTGCAGTCAGCATTCGGGGGGGGGGGGGGGGGGGCGAGGAGGCCTGTGTATACGACGGTCTAGGGACAGAGACTGCATAAATACGGTAATGGCCAATGGGGCGGTAGGCTCACCGGAGGAAGCCGGTTGCTGGTGGGCCAGTGACAATGGCGACATGTGCTCTGTCACGCGGGCCTCGTGCGGGACGCGCGAGTCTTCCTGGCCCTGTTCGACGGCACGATCCCAGTGCCGTAACTCTCAGTCTATCGCCGCTCGGAGCCCGGTCGAGACTTGTGGAGGGCGTGATCTAGCGCCCCGTGCCGCCGACTGTGTGCCGACCGGTCCGCGCTGTCCCCGGGAGGAGCGGCGGTCGTGGCGGTCGTGGTGACCTGGTTCGCCGTATCGCCGCCAGGGGCGCTGCTGGAGATCCTGGCGCTGGACCGGCCGGCTGAGGTGGATGAACATTTCTACCGTGGTTTCCTCAGCCTGCTACTGGCCGTGTTTCTGGCACCCTGTCGCAACCTGCGCGAGCTGCGCTACCTGGTCAGTCTGAACGCCCGCGCCCCACATAGACCCATGCGGTGCCCGCGCAGGATATCCACAGGTGGACGGACGGCGCGAGAGTTATTGAAACTTCCCTATTAAAAGTACGTAGAATTTTACAAGTTCACAGCAAATCATTGCCATTAAAGTGTGGCGTTCAGACTACGCTGACGTCTTTGACGATTGAGCAAATGATATGGCTTCAGAAGGCGAACACATCCGCATGAGGCGCAATTGCTGCGCTCTGTTTATTTGACCACCTAACCAAACTTCTCGTGCGAATCACTGCAATTATTCCGTCGCATTCGGTGCCTGTCGTAACAAATAACGTCAGTTAGAAATGCACATGAAAAGAAAACGCCTGTCGCGTATCGTCTGCTACCATCTTGTATGATGATCCATAGACACACTACATCGCACACTTGGTTACATTTCGTAGTTCTCTGCCATATTTCAGTCGGCTTTGGTTTCCATTTAATCACCGGGCCGAGAGAGCTCGGCTCACGCAAGCGGGATGTGCTGCGATTTTCTCAGCCGTGCTACGCGAGTAGTTCCTCTCCTCGTATTTAGGCCACGATGCGACCACGCGCCCCGGCTCGCGTCGTCGGTCCCCCGCGAGGTGGGAGCTAACGGCATATTTAGCTCACTGTTCCGTGCTCTGTCTTGAACATCAGGTGATAACCGATCCGCATCATACTGACGAGCTGGGCGAGAGTCGAGAACATGGTACATGTGTCTCATTTTTCACTATCATGTATTGAACTGACCGAATTTGGGGGAAAACAAATGCATGTACGTCTGTTATATTCAGTATTATACATTGCATCGTGATGTTACTGGCGTGCGCCTGAGTCCGCCCCTGCTCGCGCCGCCAGTACTGCTGTACCTCGGTACGCCGCTGCCCCTACCGGCGGTGTGCTGCCTGGGGCGCCGCCCGCCGGGGTCCGCCTGCTCGCCTCGCGTGTTAAGACAGTTACCATTTCGCAGCGCTCGTGTCTGGTCTGAATGGCCGTAGTCTGACTGAAGGGAGCGCGAGCAGATAGAACACATAAGATTTGAATGTACGTCATGGGCGGTATGTCTCGCCCTCGTCTGCTTTGCTTCAACTAGCCTTGATAGTAAGCTGTTGTTCCGCTGATGTCTACCGATGGCGATGTGCCGTGTGTGCTCATGGCGTCGCCGGTCGACCGCAGGCCCGCGCCAACTTCGCCCGCTACAGAGAGCCGGTGCTGGCGGGGGAGGTGGACGCCGGCGACGCCCGCCGCCTCTGGCGCCACGTGGAGCCCCACCTCAAGGCCGCCCTGAAGACCGTCTACCTGCGCGAGGTCTCCAGGTGAGCCCGCCGGCACCAGGGTGGCAGGTGTGAGCTGCTGCGTTTGTGTAGGGGTGACGTCCTCCCCTCGACTGACAGCGTAACTCATAATGATGCCTGGGGTGGAATGGGCTTGGGGTTGATTCCACTTGGTTCCGAATCCGCGTCAAGGTGAATGGAGCTAAACCCGAGTGTGATTCAAGATTACTGCTGAAAAATACAAGCCAATCAGTTTTACTCCGACGCATTTATAGCTTATAAATGCTCAAAACGTTTGCTTCTAGTCTGAATCAGGGTTTTCAGGATAGAGAACTCAGTAAGCACATCCAGGCATTCGCCTCTCAGATGGTTGTAACAGGCAGCATTGTCGGCCTGATGCTATGCACGTGCATTATGATGGTCCGAAGGGCATTTAGAATCTCCGAGATGGTGGAAACCGTGTTTTTCCATTGCCTTTAGTACACATTTCCAAAATGACGCGATAGTCGATATCTTGAACGGCTGTCACCCTGCCGAAAATTGGTGATTATTTCTGTATATTCTAGATGTCCTTTCGGTGCCACGGTTTGGCGTGTGCTTGCTTGGCTGCCAGGCAGTTGTCTTTATGGCCCACGTCAACGGCACTTCAGTTAGAGTCACTGACGGAGACGGAGTGGCATGCTATGTGAAGCAGGACATTACCACCGCGACTATGTTGGCAATCAGAAAACATATTTTCTGCTACTGAGGCTTACGCAGAATAATGGTCATGCTGGCATGCAATGTAGTCTCGTATTAGCATTATTGCTAATGGCTAAATGTGCTTTGCCGTGATAAGTTATTGAGCGCGGGGTTTAATGTGGGAAACGAAATTACTTGCCTTTCTCCAATGATTTACGATTATGGTTCCGATTATGATTCTAATGGAAATTTTGGAGCCGCATGCTTGACGATTGAATTGCAAAATTACCCCAAAAATGCAAAACACTTGAAGCCCCAACCTTCGTGGACTTAAAGCGCACACAAGTGCACCACGTTTGTCACCAGAGGAAATATGAAGCACGGACGATGCCCGTCCTGCTGGTTCCTCTGGAAATGGCATTCGATCGACTGCCCGCTATGATTCCGTTTCCAGCCTCTCTACTCAGAATATTGCCCAGCCGACAAACACTTAGCACATCAGGTTTCTCACAGCCATCGCGCGCATGTCTATCTCATCACAGGCATGGAAAACATCACGCAGCTGCCCATGCATTGTGAAGCACTGCGCAGCACAGTCATCCCACATCAGCTGTGCGACAATGGTTTGGCATGCCACTACGCTTACATTGGTCAATGAATCAGCAGCCACCTCCAGCCGACGCAAGGCATACCATACATCCTATATATAGCCAAATTATGCCCAAATACGCTCATGCATCAAAGAACTAACAGCTCGTACAAACAAAGGGAATACGGAAGGTGATTATTGGTCCTCGCTGCAGCGAACGACCGCGAGACAGGTATCAGGTTTGACTGGTCAACGCTAGCAATCGAACATATGCTGCATCGCTGGCAATTTCGACTTTTTAACTGCTCAGCAGCAGGTTATCATCTGGCCGCAAATTGATATGTCCGTATTTGCCCTCTGTACACTATTGTAAGATATTGTTATCCAAGGTTTCCTCAGAAAACCCGGGCTGTGCCAACGTCCCTGACAATCGCTTTTATCCCAAACATTGGCAGCGATTGAAATCTGACAGTCAGTTGTACTGTAGCGGGGCCGGCGTCTCGTTATTGCGTGAGTAGCGAAACAGAAATCCTTGTCTGTCGACGCAGCTGAAGTGATGACGTCATTGCTGGACTAACATGGCGCGAAGGACTCCAACTCAAGCGCCGCTGGCACGGGCGATAAAGTGGTCTTTATGTTTGTGAAACGTCTGTTTGCGAAACGTCACTTCTGCCAAAACAGAACTCACAACAATTTCAGCCGACTTCCGGCGATATGATGTTTTCAAAGCACCAACTGTCGCGGCATTTTGTAAAGTTCTCACAAAGGACAATGGGAAAAGCACGGCTCTCAATGCATCGGAAGCCTTCGTGTATTATTAATTACCTTACACATAGCTGTTTCAAGAGTAGATATACAATGATTGCGCACACAGATGTTTTAAAAGTAAATATCTTGGTCCGTGGTTGATGATGTACTTAAAATAGATCAAAGACATGGTCAGGTGCAGGATTATCGAACAAGCCAATCTACGTCTAAAATTGTGAGGTGATCAGGCTATGACGCCTCCGATGTCCACCCCTCCCCCAAGCTTCCCACCAACAGAAGCATTAGCCATCACCCCACAGCCTATGACGTGTCAAACTTGTTATGCAAACAGCCCAGATATTGTGGCTGCATCCGTTCGCGAGTCTGTGATTTGTCAAGTGAAGGCGATTCACTTCTGCTCCTGTCACAAAGGAATCGGATCGATTTCGCATCCGATGGAGCTGAGTGCAAACGAAACTGAACTCGAATCTCGCTCCGCTCAAAACGGAATCGATCCCGTGGTCTGCAATGGAGTCAAACACAATCCCGCTCGGTAATGTGCAATGCTAGCAATGTGTGGCACAGAAGCTCCTTTGCGAGGAAAATAGGCGGTTTTTTGTCGGTCTTCGGTCAGTTGGTGCGCCCGCTGTCCGATGCACCCAGCCGTGGGCGGCGAGGTTGCTTCGAGCCGCTTTGGCGCTCGCTTCTCGCCCTTGACTGGAGTGGGCTATAGCCCGGGGGCAGTGGTCAAGCTAAAGTTCAGGTGATGTCAGAGGGCGGGGCGTTCGGGGTACGTTAGGCTTTGGTCTCGAAGTTTTGCCGTTGGCCCGGCATTTTGTGATCGGATGTGAGGTCACGGGACGCGTACACATCCCTTGCACAGCGCGGGTGGCCGAACCCAGAAAACCAGCCAGTCGGAAAGTTGGCAGCCTGAATTCTTAAAGCAGGTTATTTCGGCACATGCCAACGTACCTGAAGTGCGTTGGATTGTGTCGGTTGCGTCCACTTATAAAGGCGGCGAAGGTATGAGTTCTAAAATTGTTTTAAGTCTCGAACAGACAGTACGTTGATTGCGAGCGGCTTTGGCAGCAGTGCGACATTTCCCACTCAGACTGTCACGAAAGTCTTAAAGCTTACTGGAATTGAGTTGATTGCAGTTCTGTTTCGTTTCCCACTCTTCAATTCAGTCCGACACTACACCAGGAGTGTTGATTGATCTTTGCTTTGTTATAAGAAATGGGCAACGTTATCAATTAAGACACTCATCGATGGTTAGTGGGGCCTTAACAGACGACGGTTATTGATCAAACCAAGCTACATGAAGGAAGCAGAAGCGCGGACGTATGAGCAGAATGCCAGGCGTCCGCGTTTGAACAAACTTATGCTCCGAAAACGTCCGGCGCCCCAGCATTCCCAGGGCTCGCCTCTCTGGTGCTGCGGATTACGGGCGGAGGTGGGGGGGTCCGAGGCGTGATGCGGGGGGGTCGAGTCGCTGCCAGTGGTCTTCCAGACATGGGATGCAGGTCCGTCCATGGTATTCGCTGGACTTGATTCATGACGAATTTTACCGAATGTGCGTTTGACATACAGAGCAAAATACGTAACTGGGACTATTAAAATGTCGTTGTGGCAAAATTACAGTTGTCGACGTGCCTGTTCTTGCCATGGTACATACCTTCTCCAGACCGTGTGTGCAATGAGCTTGGTTCAAATGTTCTATCCTCATTTTCCAGGCGTGGACAATATAAGCTTTTATTAATGACATCGCTAAATTTCTAGCTGCACGCCAGCCAAGAGCAAGTCACCTTTTTCACTGTGTGAAAAGCTGCATAAGAGCTATTAATGGTTACTTAGTCCGGACTAAGCCCTGGAATCCACATTCATAAATTCGTTTTTCGTCCCAGAATGGTCAAGGAAACGCCACTAGCGGTCTTGGCTAGGAATTCCAACCCAAATCGAGTCGGTTATGAAAACTGTGGCTAACGAATACGCATTGCGTAACACGACATCAACATCTCGTCCTCCTGCGCTGCGAACACTACCAGCCCGCGTCACGCAGAAGCCATTGCCGCATGTCGCAGACACGCGTTATGTGGAGGCCGCAGTACACCCTTCGCCCGCCTCCCACCGCCCTGGCCGCGGCATCACGAGAACGAGCGCAGCACGGCGGCCAGGTCGCGCGGCAGCCGGTGGCGCAGGCGGCGCACGTCCGCGCCCAGCTGCGCCATCCGCTGCTGCGTCGGCTGGCA